AAGTGGGAGATGCGTGGCTGGGCTGCCAGGAATGGTCTCCCCGGAGGAGCGGGTCACAGAAGCCAGAGGGAAGGTGCGGTGGGGCTGCCAGGAATGGTCCCCCTGGAGGAGCGGGTCACGCAAGTGGGAGATGCGTGGCTGGGCTGCCAGGAATGGTCCCCCCGGAGGAGCGGGTCACGGAAGCGGGAGGGAAGGCGCGGTGGGTCATCGCGGCGGAGCGGAACTTACCGAGAAGTGGAGAGGACAGAGCTGAGAGAGCGAGACCCGGGGCGAAGACTTGGCTGTGTTGTTCAGGACAGGGGAAAGAACGCGTGGTTAAAAATCCTTTCTTAGAAACTTTTTTGGGTCATGCTGTGTGGCTTGTGGGATCTCAGGTCCCCGACGAGGGGGTGAACCCAGGCCACGACGGTCAAGGCTCCAAAGCCGAACCACCGGGCCACCAGGGAACTCCTTGGAGACATACTTCTGTTTAAATGTTGCGATCCCCTCTGTTCTGCCCTTTCTCTAGGCAGTGAGTGTCTGGGACTGGCGGGGGCGCGCGTCTGTCTTGGGGCCAGGAGGGGCGCAGGAGACTAACGGCGGCAGGGGGAGCGGCTGCTCGACGGCCCTGCCCGCTCGCCTCCGTGTCCTTCCCAGGCCGCCGGGGCTGGAGTCCGAGGTGGCCTCACTCGTGGGCCGCCATCCTGTGCTCGTTCCTAGGGCTTTCCAACCTGTTTTCACCAGCTTGGCGACATGAAACAACAGAAGTTTATTGTCTCCCAGTTCTGGAGGCCAGAACAGCGGGCAGAAAGTAAGGTCTCGGCAGGGCCATTCTCCCATGGGAGACTAGAGGACACGCCTTCCTGGCCTCCTCACCTCGCAGGGGCTCGCCCTCAGCTCGTGGCTGTGCCTGCGGCATGGCCTCCACTGCGCCTTGTCTTCATTTCTGCCCCTCACGCAGACACCTGCCGCTGGGGCCGGGACCGCCCTCATCCAGGATGATCTCCTGTCCAGAGCCTTTTGTTTTTTTGCCTATTTTATTAAAACTTTTTTTTGGCTGCACCACGTGGCTTGCAGGATCTTAGTTCCCCGAGCAGGGATTAAGCCCACGTCCTCAGCAGTGAAAGCAAGAGTCCTGATCGCTGGACCACCAGGGAATTTCCTCCAGATGCTTAACTTAGTTATATCTGCTAAGACCCTATTTCCAAATAAGGTCACAGTCTCAGGTTCTGGGGGATTAAGAGATACCTTTGGGGGGTCCTATTCAACCCACTACACCTTTTTTTTCTCTCCAGTTTAATAACCTGGTGGGTGACCCACATTTTTACTGTATGCCTGCCCATGCTTTTATTGGGTGACTTTATCTAATGCTTACTAGTACCCCTGAGTATTCGTTGTAAGGACTGATGCTGAAGCTCCAATACTCTGGCCACCTGATGTGAAGAACTGACTCATTGGAAAAGACCCTGATGCTGGGAAAGATTGAGGGCAGAAGAAGGAGATGACAGAGGATGAGATGGTTGGATGGCATCACCGACTCAATGGACATGAGTTTGAGCAAGCTCTGGGAGTTGGACAGGGAGGCCTGGTGTGCTGCAGTCCATGGGGTCGCTAAGAGTCGGACACAACTGAACAACAGCCAGAACAACGAGCCCTGTGGCAGATGGTACCTAGGAGAAAACTGAGGCTTAACAGATGAGAGGCGGCCCTGCACGCAGATGCCGGGCACCTGGCGGACTCGTCTGGGGTCCGCCGAGCCTGTTGGTGCCTGTGCCTCAGGCATGGGGTCTCTCTGAAGCCCTCCGTCCTGGCTGATTTGAGAATCGGGGCCTCTGGAGACCCCCAGGCAGCTGAGCCCGGGCTCAGCATCGACCTCAGGCATACTCACGTCCTCCAGACCAGACGTGAAACCTGGGGGTTTCGGTCCTGCAAGGGCACTTCTGTCCCCTCATGGCACCGCGGTCCTCCCTGGGGCTGCAGCTTCTGGGCTGAGGTCTCGGGAGCCTGGCCCCAGGCTCACTGGGGCCCCGAGACCTGAGGCGCATGGTCAGAGCTAGCTCCCAGGCAGCCCCGGCAACCCTAGTCACACCCCTTTGAAGAGACATTTCGGAAGCCGGCTGCCCCCCATGGCCCAGCTGGGAACAGGCCTCTGTCCCCGCGGCGGTCACCGGCAGGAGGCTGGCCACACAGCTCGGGTGAGCAGGGTACCGTGAACATCTTCCTTCTCCTTCCTCACTGCATTCTTTGGGGACACTCGTCTCAGCCTACGGATAAATCAGCGCTGATGTCGCTCCACCATTACAGTTGCTGCTGCCCCGGCCCGCGCCCTGGTCATCTGTTTTGGTGACATCTGCCAACAAGGGTCCAGGGCATAACACCGAGGGGAAAGCTGATCCTGAGGGTCACTTTAAGACATGGACACTTCATGGGTCAGGCCTGAGATGTGTGCAGTCAGCAGACAGCGGCTAGGATGGCTCTCAGACCAGTAAGGCCAGCCTCAGGCCGACTGGGGTTCTGACTGCTAAAGAAGACCCTCCGTCAGAAAGGATGCTGGCAGCAGACACAGCTGTTGATGGGACTCTGGGCTTGAAGTGTCCGTCCAGCTTGCTGGCAACGCTGGTTAATGAGATGGGTGTCTGGGTCAGTTCAGCCTGGATCCTGGATTCATCAGCATCTCCATCAGCGTTTCCCCTGGTTCCTAACATGCTTACAATCTCCTCACCCGTCCCCACAGGCCTCCTTCCGGGGAGGGCTCACCTGGCCTTCCCCAACAAGTATACTTCATCTTCCCGGTGGGAATGCCGCTGTGGGCCCAGGCTACTTCCCGGGACCACAACAAGGTCAGGTGACCCCAAAGTGTAAAATCCAGTTTTAATTAATTGTTAATCGGCTGTACCCCAATACAAGATAAAAAAGTTAAAATAATATGTTAATGGTAGCTTTTCTCTTTATGAACAGGATCCTCACTCATGATTCTGTGTGAATTTGCCAGTTTACTTATTTATGGTTTGTTTATAATCCCCAAATCAATACTTGCAGCCCGTCGATGACCATTCAAGGACGTGTGCAGACTGGTGGTGCGCTGCTCTCCCTGACGTGCGTGTTCTCAGCTGAGGAGAAATGAGACAGTGCCCTGCCTTCTTGCTTCAGCTTTCCTGCAGACGTGACCTCTGAAGGCAGGGGAAGGCAGTGCAGGGTGAGCTCTGCCTCTGGGGCCCGCCGGGCGGGTCTGGATCCTGACACTGGACCGTTAGCTGGGGGGTCTCAGCCAAGTCACTTAATACTTTTGAACCTCATTTTTTTAATACAGCAAAACAAATCTACTAGGATAAATTGTTTTTAGGAGTTAAGGTTATAGTCTATTTGAGATATGTATATGTGTGAAACACACACACTCCCCCTAGGAGCAGTGGCTCTGTACTCATTAATTTAGTATTCATAGCAACACTGCAGAATATTACTACTGTGAATAACAATATAATTTATATATGACTTGTTAAACCAATCTGCAATCTCACTTGCTCATGCTGTGTGACCCTTTTAATACGTTGCTAGACTTAGTTTGCTAGTATTTTGATGATTTTGTGTCTATAGTCATAATAGCTACTGCTCTACAGTTTTCCTGTGATGTTTCTGGTTTTGTATTACAATATGCTTTTGAACTGTTATGTTGGAGAAGACTCTTGAGAGTCCCTTGGACAGCAAGGAGATCAAACCAGTGAATCCTAAAGGAAATAAACTTCTAACATTCTTTGGAAGGACTGATGTTGAAGCTGAAGCTCCAATATGCTGGCCACCTGATGGAAACAGCCAACTCATTGGAAAGGATCCTGATGATGGGAAAGATTGAAGGCAGGAGGAGAAGGGGATGACAGAGGACAAGATTGTTGGATGGCATCACCAACTCAACAGACATGAGTTTGAACAAACTCCGGGAGATGGTGAAGGACAGCGAAGCCTGGTGTGCTGCTGTCCGTGGGGTCGCAAAGAGTCTTCCCTCCTCTTCTACTTTTGGAAGTTTACAAAGGATTGGTGCTCCTTCTTTAAATGTCTGTAGAATAGATCAGTGAAGACATCTAGGCCTGCGATTTTCTTTGCGGATGTCTTAAAATTACTAATTCAACCTTTTATTTTTTACTGCCAGCTGCTTTTTAAACTTCCTTTTTGTAGAACCAAAGGTGATTATCTCCTAACACCAGTAAAATTCAATGAGAAAATACATGTTATCAAGGAAGTCAGGTCCAGGGTTTGTAAGATTCAGGTAAACAGCTACCAAGATTATCCAGTAGCAATATTATCCTGCTGCCTAAAGCTTTACCACAGACAAACATTTCATTACTTCTCATGTGCTTTCATGACCTTATGAATTAAGAAATAAGACATTACAGCCCATTCTACAAAGATTTATACACAAACTTAACTAGTATTTGTAGCAAAGTCCTATAATCACAAACTAAAGTTCATGCGCTTCTAGATTATACACAGACATTCTTACTTACATGTCTTTAAGTCTATCTACAGAAATCATACCTGTCTCAGAACCTGTCAGGAAGGCAATGTGTAGTGGAATAAACACAGCAATAGAAACCTGGAGATCTCAGCTCTAACTTAAATAAGATGCCTCAGTCTGTTTCTCCCACTGACAAAAATTAGGTTAAGCCTGATGATCACCAAGGTCCTTTTCTTGTTCTAGAAATACAGTGACTTATCCTACAGTAATGCCGTTCCCACTGTTCTTACTTCAGAGTGGTCAAGATGAAAACACTGTTATGTACACAAACATATACACGCCCATACTTCATACTTACAGAACAAATCAACCCATCCACAAAATCTCAAGAGGAGGTCTGTAGTTAAATAATTCCGACATCTCAAAGTCCTGAGTTTGCCATGAAATGCCTGTCAACTAATTTTGTCTTGCTACATGTATATCTATTTGCTTTTCCCCTAATCTCTCACTTCATGTAAGTACTGCTGGATGAGACATCTACTAATTATGAGAACTTTCAAGAACAAAGAAGTCACTTTTCAGAAATTCTGAGGCCATCAGAGAAAGTGAACGGTATTTCATCAGTCGTCTCTACTGGCACGTTGCTTCTGCCAAACTGACATGAGTAATGGTGGCTGCGATGGCTTGAAATGAAGGCGTCCGCAGTCCGGCTGCAGCGACAGCCACCTGATGGCAGCACGTTGCTCGAGCTGCTGAGATGCGAGTGGTAAGTGCCGGAGAAGGAGTCCCGAGGCGGGCGGTAGCGGGCTGCCCCCGCGGAGCCGGCGGCAGGGCTGTGGTAGGGGCCGTCACACATGACGCAAGTCTGGAAGCGCGTCTTGCTCCCTGAGCCCCGGTGGATGTCGAGTTTTGCGATGAGCGGCTTTCCAACATTTACCTCCCGCTTTTCCTCTACGGTGTCTTCCAGTCCCGAGTACTGATACGACAGGCAGACCGTGAAGACCAGATGTTCCTGGGGAGGAGGAGAGATGAGGTTTGTCCTTTTCATCAACCAGGGGAGTGTATCAGCTTTAGGATACCATTCACATAGACACATCCAGACAAAACCACACAGCAGCCAAAACACCCAGTCTCACTTTCCTTTCCCAGGTTCCAGACCCTCAAAGTAGCCTTTATGTTTTCCTTATACTAAGAAAGGCTAGCTAGAACCAGCTTCCATCTTCCTCATTCCATATATTGAATTAGTATAGATAGAATCACAGAGATCTTGTATTACATTCCCAATGAACGGTGAAGACATATTTTTTCAAGCAGCGGGGCTTGGAAAACTGTCTTTCCCTATTACTGGAGACAGGGCGTGATCTTTTAATGAAAAAGTAATCAGCTTTATGGGACTTTCCTGGTGGTGCAGTGGATGGGCGTCTGCCTGCCTGTGCAGGGGATGCTGGTTCAATCCCTGGTCAGAAGGTCCCATGTGCTGAGGAGTGAATAAGCCCGTGCCTGCAACTACTGAGCCCACGCTCTAGAGCCTGTGGGCTGCAACCACCAAGCCCGCAGGCGGCAGCCACTGAAGCTGTGCGCTGCACCTGCTGAAGCCCGTGCGCCTAGAGCCTGTGCTCTGCCACAAGAGAAGCCAGCTCAGTGAGAAGCCCAAGCAATGCAAGCAGGAGCAGCCCCGCTCCCCGCAACTAGAGGAACGCTCACGCTCAGCCACAAAGACCCAGCACGCCCCCCCCGCCAAAAAAATCAGCTTCACGTCGAGGTAAAAAATTTAGCTGTTTTTAAAATATTATGAAGTAGTAACCCACAATCACAAGCGGAGACGTATACATGGACTGGAGGACGGACTGAAGCTCAGACACATGGAGAGTGTCGGCCGACTAGCCGTGAGCAGGGCGTGGCAGGGTGGTGACTGCCGTCCTGGTGTGACTGTCAGTAGTGCTCACGCCACACCCCAAGGTTTGGCTAAGGCCTCCCAGGGTCATGCAGCTCTAAATAAAACTAGAGTGTTGCAAAGCTCAACCCTATAGACCGTGAAAATCACGTAGTTTCTCATGTGTAAGGTCAACGAGACATGAAAAAAGATCAAAATAAATTCCCATTCTAATTTGTTACGTTTTGCTGAAAGTCATCGAGCTAGGAAATGCTTATTTGAAAATGCTAAGGTATTTACAATAGACTATGCTCTTTGTCTCTAACTTTTTAATAACATGGAGGGTAATGATATGCACTCTCACACACAAATAAATCCTCAGGCTATTATTAAGGACAGAATGCAAAATGCGAAAAAGGTCACTGATGAGACTTGCTGTATAGCCGCTCTCTCTGCTTCAACTTAATATGAAATGAAGCAGCACATCTCTGGACCAATACACGGTTCACAGGCACAAATGCATGTTCACTTTCATAAAAGTTTTCCTTCTGCTTAGTCGCTCTTTGCGACCCCATGGACTGTAGCCCACCAGACTCCTCTGTCCATGGGATTCTCCAGGCAAGAATACTGGGGTGGGTTGCCATGCCCTCCTCCAGGGGATCTTCCCAACCCAGGGACTGAACCCAGGTCTTTTGCATTGCAGGTGGATTCTTTACCATCTGAGCCACCAGGTTATAAATAGGAAAAGTAGTAACCTTTAATTTCTGCAGTGAGCTGAGTCTCGTGTATAGGCAGTGCTTGGGAAGCTCCTTTGATACTAAATAGCTGCCAGTCTCTTCGGGGGTCCCTTTATTTGCATCTTTGGGATCAATATCTAGGTCCTGTGAAAACCAGAAAATGTTATTAATGAAGTCAGTGAAAGTCACAACATCACCTGTGACCATGAAACATCTTAACAGGTGCTGCTGTCTGATGAACTGTGATCTGAGTAGGTAAACCCTGCTGCTGCTGCATCGCTTCAGTCGTGTCCGACTCTGTGCGACCCTACAGACCGCAGCCCACCAGGCTCCCCCATCCCTGGGATTCTCCAGGCAAGAGTACTGGAGTGGGTTGCCATTTCCTTCTCCACTGCATGAAAGTGAAAAGTGAAAGTGAAGTCGTGTCCGACTCTTAGCGACCCCATGGACTGCAGCCCACCAGGCTCCTCCGTTTGTGGGATTTTCCAGGCAAGAGTGCTGGAGTGGGGTGCCATTGCCTTCTCCAAGGTAAACCCTACCCAGGGCTAAAGGAGCACTGAAGATTACATTCTGGAATCATCATCATCATAAATGGAATTCTACATTCCTCACCAATGCACTTTAAGCAGTCAGCTCTGGAGGGATAGTCCCTTTCAGACTGTCTCTGCAGACACTCTGAAGCAGCGTCCTCAGGTTCCCTTTAAGTCTGGGCCCCATGAGTGTTGGCTCCTGGACCCCCCCCCCTCCTCAGTCACCCTGTGGGAAGGTGCAGGTGCATTTATGTGACTCGTACATTCAACAGGAATAAATGGACGTGCCAAAGGCAGCTTCCCTCTCCCCGCTTTTCCTTCCTTTACAGCCAACTGCTGCCAAGAGCAAGAGATCTGCGCTGTGACTCGAGAGCAGCCTTCAGGCTCGGCCGCTCCAGGGTCCGGGGCCCCATCCTGGGCCAGGGCTGCCAGGACTACGGGATGGATCCGTCTGATTCTGGGGTCAGTGCAGACCGCAGGCTCTCACGCTGAGCGCTGCCCTCCATGAAGCTTTGATCAGAAGCAAGGGAGACGTTCTGGGTTGAGTGCCTTACTCTGTGCTCATGTCCCAATTTACTGCAACAGTACAGGAAAAGGGATTTTGTCTGGTGGCTCCTTTAGGCCAAAACAAAATGAGTATCATATCTGAGTGTCTGGAGAGAGCTAGGTTTCTATTCCAATAACGCTACTACAGTTTGACAAGTATGACTCCTGCTGTTGTAGTAACTATTTCGGGGAAAGTTTTTAAGAGATTAATTCTGGACATATGTGTAACATGTTTTATTCCTTGATATGTGAAATACTATTTAGGATAAGAGAAATTAAAGGCTTATTTCCTGGGTGAACTTAGGACATTCCTAAATCTAACATATTTAAGGTATTTTGGCGATTAGTTTTTAAATATTATCAGTATTATTACTTAAATACAAATATTTTTATATATGTGATATATGTATACATACTTTAATCATAACCTTTTAAGTTTTCAAAAATTAGTCTTTAGTGAGGCTATACCATTATAGTTTAAATAAAAGAAAAAAGTAGAGACTTACAAGTGGAAAGTCGGTAACATAGGCATCACACATTAATATATCAGGCGGTTTGTGCACTATACTCGTATAGATTATCATGACGTTGGAAAACTCGGCTGCAAACCCCAGTTGAATCTGAACACCACACTGAAATTTAAGACACATACTTTCTGGAAGCTCTGAAAAAGAACAATAAAAACTTACATAAATAATTACTTATAGAATTTTTGGTGAGTTTTCTGATGATAAGCAGCAAACAAATATTCTTTATGGGGCAAAATACTATTAGAGCTGTTTCTGTCGCTTAAACATGTTACAGGAAATTCCCTGGAGGCCCAGTGGTTCCAACTCTGTGCTTTCACTGCCAAGCACCTGGGTTCAATCCCTGGCTAGGGACTAAGATCCTACTCACTAGGCTAAAACATTCACAGCAAAGTTTGGAGGAAAGCTGTGAATTCAGAGGGAAAACGACTTCATAGTTTTACATGAACATATAACAGGAAGAGAGCATAAAAAAGACTACGGTACCATGCGCCTTGGCCCACTGGAGGTTTCGCACCAGAGACTCTGCGGAGTGTGCTGTTCCCTGGATTGGGTCAGTAAGGGCTCTCTTTTCAGATAAGCTACTTCGAATCTCTAGCGCCTGCTTGCCTTTGGTAAGGTGACATTTACCCATATCTAAAAGATAAGACGTGAATATTATGTTTAAGACCACATCGTTTCGTTTCGGCCAAGAACCCTCCTACAAATCAGGTTATATTCTCAACATCACTTATTCACTCCAGACACCTACCAAGCACCTACTATGTGCCAGGCATGGTCCCAAGTGCCAAGGATATGGTGTGAGCAAACAGATGAAGTACTGGACCAGCTCACTCCTAGAGGCCCCTTTCTGGCTGTTAGCTTCTATGATTGTATTGATGAGCCCCTAATATGCTAAGCCTTGAAATTCACAAAGAAGTGAAAGTATATTTCTTTACTGTAAGAGCAGTCAGGATTTATGTGTACTCTGTGGAGAAATACGTTCAGTTAAACAAATGACTACACAGCTAAGAGAAAGTTAAAATATCATGCTGTCTTTATCTCAGATTTCTTTTTTAGAAAAGAAATAACATGTTAAGACAAACAATGTTAAAACACCATTACTGTCTCCCCAACTCAAAGTAACCAAAGTACTGTGTATATTCTTACACATATTGTAATTTTTACTCATGTAGATATTGGTAAATAGTATGTGTCAATGTTTTAGGTTTTGAACTTACTAAAAATGTTATACACGTGCTTTTCTAATACACTATTTTCATGCAACATGATTTAAGACATGAATACTGACAAATCTCAATTTAAATTTATAAAATGATACTACATTCCTTTGCATAAATACATTACAAAAAATTCATCCTATTTGTGTAAATATTATTAGTGAAAATAAATTAATAATATCTGGTCTTGGAAAGTAGTTTCTTATCTGGGAAAACAGACATAAAACTCTAAGACTTTATCCCTTTTACTCAGAAAGACATTCCAAATGTTTATCTTTCATGAATAACAGTAAGGTCAGAGAGAGAGAAGGAAGTTACAAAACAACTAAATTAAAATAAGGGCTTCCCTGGTGGTTCAGATGGTAAAGAATCTGCCTGCAATGTAGGAGACCTGGGTTCAATCCCTGGGTTGGGAAGATCCCCTGGAGGAGGGCATGGCAACCCATTCTAGTATTCTTGCCTGGAGAATCCCCATGGACAGAGGAGCTTGGTGGGCCCCAGTCCATGGGATCACAAAGAATTGCACATGACTGAGAGACTAAGCACACAAATTAAAATATTCCTACTTTTTGCAGACATACATAAACTCAATTAAAACTATGTTAGAAGCAAATCAAGGGAATGATAAACAAGATTTAGAAGGATACACACACTAGTAAAGTAATGCTTAAAATTCTCCAAGCCAGGCTTCAAAAGTACATCAACGGTGAACTTCCAGATGTTCAAGCTGGTTTTAGAAAAGGCAGAGGAGCCAGAGATCAAATTGCTGACATCTGTTGGATTATTGAAAAAACAAGAGAGTTCCAAAAAAACATCTGTTTCTGCTTTATTGACTATGCCAAAGCCTTTGACTGTATGGATTACAACAAACTGTGGAAAATTCTTAAAGAGACTGGGAATACCAGACCACCTGACCTGACTCTTGAGAAATCTATATGCAGGTCAGGAAGCAACAGTTAGAACTGGACATGGAACAAGAGACTGGTTCCAAATAGGAAAAGGGGTATGTCAAGGCTGTATATTGTCACCCTGCTTATTTAACTTATACACAGAGTACATCATGAGAAAAGCTGGGCTGGATGAAGCAAAAGCTGGAATCAAGATTGTCGGGAGAAATATCAATAACCTCAGATATGCAGATGACACCACCCTTATGGCAGAAAGTGAAAAAGAACTAAAGAGCCTCTTGATGAAAGTGAAAGAGGAGAGTGATAAAGTTGGCTTAAAACTCAACATTCAGAAAACTAAAATCATGGCATCTGGTCCCATGTTTGCCAAATCATGGCAAACAGATGGGGAAACAGTGGAAAGTGACAGACCTTATTTTTTGGGTTCCAAAATCACTGAAGATGGTGACTGCAGCCATGAAATTAAAAGACGCTTACTCCTTGGAAGAAAAGCTATGACCAACTTAGACAGCATATTAAAAAACAGATAATTACTTGTCTGTCTAATCAAAGCTATGGTTTTTCCAGTAGTCGTGTATGGGTGTGAGAGTTGGACTATAAAGAAAGCTGAGCACTGAAGAATTGATGCTTTTGAACTATGGTGTTGGAGAAGATTCTTGAGAGTCTCTTGGATTGCAAGGAGATCCAACCAGTCCACCCTAAAGGAGTCCTGGGTGTTCATTAGAAGGACTGATGTTGAAGCTGAAACTCCAATACTTCGGCCACCTGATGCGAAGAACTGACTCATTTGAAAAGACCCTGATGCTGGGAAAGACTGAAGGCAGGAGAAGGGGACAACAGAGGATGAGATGCTTGGATGGCATTACCGACTTGATGGACATGAGTTTGAGCAAGCTCCAGGAGTTGGTGATGGACAGGAAGGCCTGCCGTGCTGTGGTTCATGGGGTCGCAAAGAGTCAGACACAACTGAGTGACTAAACTGAACCGAACTCCATGAAAGGGGGGCAAGGAAAGAGAGAGGGAACATATAACTGGATATAGGTTACTGTCAAAGTCTGAGATTCATGCTGGACATCTAACTCACAATAAAAACTGTCAGAAGTATGTTCCAAGGGACTTATTAAAAAGTACATCACTAATTGAATAAATCTTTTCTTCTAGCAGATCGTGGAGTTTTATAGAGCAAGATGGCATTTGGGTACCTTAAATGCCATATTGCCAGACTAGATAGGAAAGAATTTACCTTGCAATTTCAAGCAACTTAATAATGCTGTTTCAAGTAGAAAAACCAAAATCTGGGGTCCCAGATTGATAGCAGGAACCTTATAACAGCAACCAATTTATTTCCTATTTTGTTTCACTGGCACAACAACTGAAACTGGAAAGGTGGTTTTTCTTCTCAACTGTTTGGCCTATGATCTTTGAAAACTTAAAAGTATTCAGAATAAATTATCCTGAAGAATTCAAAGTTCAAATGTATAATAAAGTATAAATAAAAATATAATCCAGAAGTTCAAATATACTGGGATGCCATTTATTGACAGAACAACAGGTGGGTGAACTGGTGCTTTTTATTAAGTTTTAAGATAGGACAGATTAAAATTAGAATAAAACATTTTAGAGTCTTGGGAGCATGTTCATAGATCTCACTTTGAAAATAACTGACACTCCAAAGGCTTTTTTTTTAGGCACCGGAACTTTGTCTTCAAATGAGAACTTTAAATAGAAGCCCACATAATATGTAAAACAGGTAAAAGCAGAACTTCTTTGGTTGAAGAAAGAGGGTCAGAGCCCTGGCTGTCTACATTGAAGGGGAAAGTAGTGAAGTCAAGTGATCCAGCTAAGGGATTACACTGATAAAAACATGAAAATAAATGAATGTGACTAATGAGCGGGTTGCGAAACTATTCAGATGCCATCTCTGGAATATCCATGAAGCTCCATTTCCTAGGGAGCCAGTTTGCAAAAGAACTGCCTTCTTTTTAATGAGACTTATGAGCTTCCCTGGTGGCTCAGATGGGAAAGAGTCTGCCTGCAATGCGGAGACCTGGGCTCGATTCCTGGGTCAGGAACATCCCTTGGAGAAAGGAATGGCAACCCCCTCCAGTATTCTTTCCTGGAGAATTCCACAGACAGAGGAACCTGGAAGGTATAGCCCATGGGGTGGTGAAGAGTCGGACAGGACTGAGCAACTAATGGTGTTAAAAAAGAGACACGTCGATCTGCTGCTGTGACAGGTGCTTCTTCACAGAGTGACATGAGCCCAGCGCTGTGCCTGGCAGCAAATGAAAGAACAGAAGGAGTGGAAGAGCCACGTGGTGGCAGACCTCTAGCATCCTGTCCTTAAAGCAGAATTTCAAACTCCCAAATTAGCCAAAGGAAGAAAAAAGTAGAACCCAGCCTTTTCCCACAGGGCCTTGAAATTTCTATAAAGTTGCATCTGTTTGACCCTGAAAGAAAATGCTCACTGGACAACTTTTTTTCTCTTTTTTGCAAATAAGCAGACTGGGTGGCATCAGGCATTAAGTATTGAAACAAGGTAAGGAGTTTTGAGGATTAAACTTCATTGATTTCACAATCATGTCTGGGCTCAGACTTGCAGGTCAAAGTAATGCTAATGCTAATGCATACAGATAAGCCAATAAGCCAATAAGGAAAGAAGCACTCTTATGAACATTATATAAACTATTTCATTGTTCCATGAAATAGATACTAATTCCAAACCCAAATAATGACTGTAGGATTAAAATACTCAGAGAACCATAAGTAGCTTTCTCTTTAGTTTTATTTTACCTTCTGCAACTTCATCCAGTAACACAGTAATTTTCTTTTCTTCTAATAACCTATCCTTTAAAAACTTCATGAAGATTCCATTTGCTAATCCAGAATGCTGTATTTCAAAAGCTTCTGCTCCTTGACACCTGAAAAGGAAGACATTAAAAAAAAAGCAAACACTTGGCCCATGAAGCTTCTATAAAAACTAATGAGTCTCATATACTACCCTGCCTCTCACATGACATCTTAATTAAAGAGTTGACCTTTAAGCAAGAATTAAGTGCTCTGAGGCTTAGTAAAAAAATGCCAAGCTCTAAAGTGCTGAGGTCAATTATTTAAAATTTTGCATTAAGAATACTGAGGCAAATTTATGCCTAGATGGCTATGGATATTTCTAGGCTTCTAATCTACAATCAAAAAGAAGTCACTGGGCTTCCCTGATGGCTCAGTGGTAAACAATTCACTTGCTGAGGCAGGAGACACGGGTTTGATCCCTCATCTGGGAAGATCCCACGTGCTGCGGAGCAACTAAGCGTGTGCGCCGCAAGTCCTGAGCCTGTGCTCTCGAGCCTGGAGCCGCACCTACTGAGCCCGCGCCCCAGAGCCCGTGCTCTGCAACGAGAAGGCACCACCGTGAGGAGCCACCCACCGCAACTAGAGTAGCCCCCGCTTGCCACAACTTGGGCAAAGCCTGTGCGGCATCGAAGAGCCAGGACAGTAAAAAAACCCACAGAAACCCTGTTGTATCAAAAAAAAGTCATCAAAGAATGACAGAATCCCCAACATCGAAGTCTCACGTGGCGTATCCAAAGACGATATTGGCGGTGACTCTCAGGGCATCCAGGATTGGGATGGTATCGTCATAGTCATTTCTGTTTAAAAGGCAGAGGAAAAGGACAGATACAAATACAAAAAGTTAAAATGGCATTCTTAAAAGAGCACAAATAATAATACAGTGAAAATATGTATTTACTATTCTGTAACACATAAAGGAACTTTGAACCTATCACTTTCAATTATCTAGTTACCTATGTATTTACCAAAAATAATCCAGAATTCCCCAACGACTGAGACAGCAGAGAATCACCCCCTTTTTTCTTGTTAGCTTTTAAAACTGGAATTACATTTGAACTTGGGTGTTGGATTTTGATTGCTAAAAGCTGAGCAAGCAAAAAGTTGCTAAGGGCCCCCACTCTTTTGAGTTTTGATTCTGCTAATTCCTGGAGGAACAGCTGCAGGGATTGCAGAAGACATCCTAAAGGCAGTCTGAGGGGCTGCATCTTTTCTAGTATGAGTGAGTACCCATGCCCTTTTGTTCATCACTTCTATTCTAGAGCAGGCAGGAAAAAGTTAAAAACACATAGAGAAAATGTATTTTCTAGTTTTCTTCTTAATCAATCTCACTCTACAATCTAAAATTCACCAACTCTAAGTGTTTGAAGGATTCATGGGTGTGCCATTAGATGTGTGTGTGTTGAGGCTGATGTTTAACTGACATTAACAGGCTCCCGTGTGAGGACTGGACTGTCTACCTCTTCCTGCACATGTCCAGCAGGAACACGTTGAGTCCAGTCTCCTTTTCTTGCATCAGTTTCAGGATATTCTGTACACACAGACAGTTTTCAGACCTATATGGATTTGGAGCATCCACAGGGACCATAAAACTGTTCCCGAAGTTTTCATATCCATGTCCTGCGTAATACAACAGCCCTGAAAAGCAAGAAAGGAGAAACTGCAATCTGAGCAGGCAGCACTCTTTAAAACAAAACCATAACTTACTTTCTTGACATGAATGCGTACTTATTTAAGAGAGATGCAACTACAAACACATTCAAGTGTTAACTGAATTTGCCTTGAAAATTACTTTGGCAACAGTCTTCGTTTAAGTACTGAATTTTAAACCAACATCAGGATGCTATCCTGTGCAACTAGAGAAGCCAAAAAGAGAAATACCAGATGATATCACTTATATGTGGAATTTAAAACGTGACACAAATGAGCCTACCTATGAAACAGGAACAGGGACGCAGAGACAAGACTGGTGGTTGCCAAGGGGCTGGGGTGTGTGTGAGGGGTTGGACTGGGAGTCTGCGATTAACAGATACAAACTGGAACATAAGGGATGGAAAAACAAGGTCCTACTGAACAGCACAGAAAACTGTAGTCAGTGACCTGTGATAAACCATAATGGAAAGAGTGTGAAAAAGCAAGCATATATATATACACATATAACTGAGTCACTTTGCTATACAGCAGTGATTAACATGCTATAATTCAACCACACGTATGTCACAAATTGTAAAAAAGATGCTCCTCTGAAGTGTATTTTAATTCATGAAAGTGACACATCTGTAACCAATGGTATAACATGGAATGCAATTTCATCTCAGGATGTTTAAAAACAAACAAGACTGAGGACTCCTGTGACTCATCTGTGGTTTCTGAAACCAGGAGCTTCTTCAGCCAGGGCGCTCTCCCCTTTATCTGTGTGTTCCCGGAACACTGCAGGAGTTGAGTGAGTGTTTAACAGATGAAAGGACAAACGCAATTCAGAGGAACAGCCGCTGCCATGCCAGGTGTAAGAAATTCCACAGCATTTCCTTATAATATCAGTAAGGTTAGAAAAATATCCAGGTAGCTTTTTCTAGGCAGAGAAGGGAAATCTCATTTCATGGATTGCTATTTCTTTTTGTTATGCAGGTATAAATATCATTTATTTTCTATAGTCTGAATTAAACTAAGATTCATGTTATTTTTAATGTTCACAGATGAGTTATTATTTATTTACTGAGAAATGGTACTATAAAAAAACATACTAAACAACTCTAAACACCTTCTTGAAAAGAAGTTTGTTTTTGTTCCTAAAAAATAAAATCAGTATGGGCTTTCTTATAAAATATTTGTTATTCCTATTTGATAGGAATACTTGTGAAGACATAGTCCCCTAAGCCTGCAATCTCTAGCACCCACTGACTCTGCTCTGTCAATATTCTGAAGTGATGATTTCATTGTGTAGTATTCTACAGTAAACAGTAAAAAGGCATTTAGAAGGAGAACAACAACAAAAAGCTAATTCTTTATAGCTGCAGCCCCCAAGCCCGAGCAAGAATGTGGTTTTTAGCAGCAAAGAAAACTTGCTTCCTTTGGTTCCACAGGGCAGGATCCAGGTTGTCGGCTTTTCCTGACTTCCTATTTAAATAAGAAAAACGGTTCTTTCATACGTATCATTCTGGGTAAAAAAATGACAAAATGGACACACACTGGTTTATTCATTGTGGGTGTTCATCACCATGTAGGTGGCAAGGACGATGAGAAAGAAATGAGCACGGAGCTCCTGGCCCTGAGAGTCTTACAGCTCACTCGGGCACGCTCATGTTATCAGTGACACAAAGAAAAGTCTGCATATAATTAAACAGCACACATCACGGGATTAGAGCAACGCTGTACATGATGTATGAAGTGCCGAGGGGAGCACCAGCGTGAGGGGAAGCAATGACAGGTGGTCCTGAGAGAAAGGGAACAGCCTGGAAAGGCAGGGAGGAAGGAAGGTGCGTTATAGGCAGCGGGAACAGAGACAAACAAGGCTTGGCCCTGGAATGATAGCTAACAGAAAGGAGACCAGCCTGGAAAGGAATTAAATTATCATTGTAAATCAAAGTGTTTAGAAAATCACGACACAGTGGGTTTAATTAGCAAAGTAATGAAAATCCAAGTAAGTGAAAAGATAACCCACAGAATGGGAGAACATGTCCACACAGACAGATAAGTATTTGTGAGAACAAATTATATATCTACAAGGACACTGTATCCAGAATATATGAGGAACACTTCAACAATAAAAAGACAATTTTAAAATGTGCAGGGGACGTGAATAAACATTTCTTCAAAGAGAATATACAAATGGCAAATAAGCACATAAGATGATGCTCAATATTACTAACGATTAGGGAATGAGATACCACTTCACACTTATTACGATGGCTGTAATCAAAAAGATGTGAACCAAGGCTGACAAGGAGGTAGAGAAAGTGGAAACCTCGTTTGCTTCTGGCAGGAATATATAATAGTGCAGACCCACTGGAATCAGGCGGTTCTTCAGAAAGCAAAACTTAGCATTCTGTGACCCAGAAACTCCACTCCAAGGTAAATATCCAGGGAAACTGAAAACACGTGTCCATGCAATGTTCAGAGCAGCACTAGTTCCAATATCTAAGTAGTGGAAAATGGTTAAATGTCCATTGCTGATCAACAGATAAACAAAATGTTCTGTATCCACACAATGGGTGATTAGTCATAAAAATAGAGCTACAACACAGAGGAAGCTTGGATGCACCATGCCAGAAGTGACCGAAGCCAGACCCAGAAGGATGCATAGGGAGTGATTCCATTCATAGGAAAGTCCTTGGGAGACAAATCCAGAGGCAGCAAGCGGGTTGCTGCTGTCGGGAGTCTGGGGTCAGGAGGACTGAGGAGGGACCGCCAGTGGATACGGGGCTTCTCTGGGGGCCGATGACAACGTTCTGGAGTTAGCTGACTGAACGGCTTTGTGTGGGCACTGACAACCACTGAACTGGAACCTGCAGTGCAGCGCGGGGCGCTCAGCTCGGGGCTCTGGTGGCCTGGAGCAGTGGGACCGCGGCGCCGGGAGGGGGGTCTGGCAGGGAGTGGGGACTGCGTACACAGAGCCGATCATCACTGCACAGCATAAACTAACACAACGTGGGAAATAACTATAGTTCAATAGAAATGTTCGTAAAACGAGAAGAAGACCTGTGTATTTTAAAAGTGCAAGATTTACACTGTCCAGGATTCAAAATCTGACTCCACTCCCTGTCTGTCTCTTTCCTGCTTCCACAGCAAGACACACTTATTTGTAACCTCCATGGCCCCGCTCAAGTCACGCTTTTCTTTCCATCTACCCAAATCTTCGCCAAGGCTCAGGCTTATCTCAGGTTCAGACCCTGGGCACTTCTGAACACATTTCAGCCCTACCCTGCTGGGAAATCCTACAGCAGCTCTGACGCTTCAAATCACACATGGGCTTTCATGGACATTTACAGTTCTATGTAGACGCAGTTTCTTTGATAAAAGTAACTGTAATAAAGACATTAACTTTTTTACATTTGCATGGCATTTTCATGATTCATGATTTTCAAAGCAACTTCATAAACATAATCAGATTTTAACCTGTAGCAATTTTTAAATGACCTACTTTATAGGTGAGAAAATCAAATTTTAAAACATTAAATAATTTGCTTAAAATCATATAGCTGATAGGTATTTATTTGTATTCCATATACAGCGTTTCTCCAGTCCTATTATATTAGGGGGTTTATAATTTCCTCAGATGGTAAAGAATCTGCCTGCAATGCAGGAGAGACCCAGGTTCGATCCCTGGGTTGAGAAGGTGCCCAGGAGAAGGGAATGGCTACCCACTCCAGTATTCTTGCCTGGAGAATCCCATGGAGAGAGGAGTCTGGTGGGCTCCCATTGTGTCATTTAACATATCATCTGGCTTAAGAAGGCTTGACTTGGGAGAAAAAGCAACTTCAAAGGAGGGAGGGTTTAGCCTCCATCATCCAGGTAAAGCTAAGTGTGGTCAATGCGGTATGCCCAGGTTTGCAATCACTGAAATTAAGGCACTGACAACAAAATATCTTTTCTCCACCACAGAGCAATTCATGAAAAATGTAGTAAGCATTTTGTATCAAAGCCTACACACAAATTATACTGCAGGAGGTTAAGCATTTTTATGTAAAATAACTAGGCCAAATCACTGTATTTTAAAAATTTCAGCTCTAGTACCATTTGTACATTTAAACCACTTTCATTACTCAAGGATAGAAGGACAAAACTGATCTCTTTTAAAATGTCAAAGAATTCAATGGGGTTAGAAATAAAACCTTATAAAATAGATCTTTTAGAATTTTATTTCTTGGGAACATGATTTCCAAGGATACAGTCTGTCAGAGATTTTTATTTTTTGTCTACAGAGAAAACAAATGCTTCAATGGAGGACTTTCCCACTTGCGTGGCGCTGCCGTGCACTTGGCACAGGGATTTTTTTTTTTTTTAAGTTCTACCACTTTATTGCTACCAACCCATCTCCCTCCACCCTCGTGCATACATGCTCAGTCATGTGACCCCATGGACTGCAGCCCGCCAGGCTCCTCTGTCCATGGACTTTTCCAGGCAAGAATACTGAGTGGGTTGCCATTTCCTTCTCCAGGCACAGGGCTTTTATTAGAACATGAGCATCGCCTCTGCCAGCGACCTTCAGAGTGGTTACCACCTACGTATCAGGCACTGCTGGAAGCAAGTGCTTTACTTCAATAATCTCACAGGCTGCTCACAACAAGTACCTCATCATCATAATGAGGTAGGAAATGTTATTGCCTCCTTCTTACAGATGCGAAAGCTGAGGCACTGAGCCGTTCGACAGCTCACCCACAGTCACGAGACTACCAAGGGGTGTTCCCAGAAGTGCGGTGCCAGCAGGATCAGCCGCTGCGCCAGGTTATACTGTCTCCTTACAGTCTTCTGCTGGCTTTCGAGTTAACGTTACTCTCAGAAAATAAAAAATGCTGGTGTACTGGTTTTTCCATGACCTCACCATACCATTTCTGTAAAAACTCCTTTTTTCCCTCCAATGAAATCTTAGGCTGAACCTTAATAAATGAGATAAAAGCTGGTTTCTCTATTGAGATCTGAAGTGGAATGTTATCCAAATCCCCTATCTATTGGTGAAGGAAAATCTGAATTCAGGAAACTACAACAATGGCTACAGTGTTTTGAGGCTTTAGCATGCCAGACACATGGGTGGTTATTCTATCTTAACTTATCCTGTAACAACCGCACTAACTTAGTCTATCCATTGTATACATCCTTTCTGGCTTAGGAAAGCGAAGTAACTTGGTCACAGACACACAGCGAGTAAGCGGAAAACACAGGCCGCTGAGCCCGGGGTTGGCGAGTCTTGGCTCTGCTGCTTAACCCCGAGCTACACTGGCGCGAGTGATTCCAGCGTGAGTGAGGCTTTGGCCCTATGCTAGCCAGGTTCCTTTAACCCCCTTTTCTGTTGAAGCGCAGCTCAGCTGCAGCAAGTGATGAATGTAGAGAAGTGTTAGGTGGGGTGGACACTAAGCCAAGGAGTTACTCTACATCCTGGTTTATCTACATAACTGAAATCTTTATCCTTATTATCTTCAAGGATAGGTAACAAATAGGTCAGTTATTCCTGTTTTTAGATTGTGTTTTTAATGCTTATATAGTTTAAAAATTGAATTACATATGTTCTGTTCTGCGAATTTTTATTTCCTTCACAAACCCAGGGCAACGTAATACAGAAGGGCATAAACTTGAGTGCCATGCTCTCCACGCTGACGCTGCTCTTCTGACACTCCTGTGGCTCTGGCTCTGCCTCCCCTGCCCCCCAAAGTACTCCTGGTCCCCGGGCTGCCAGCTGGACGTGAGGGCACAGCCCAGGGGACATGCCTATGCCCTCTGGCCCCTGCCACACTTACACTGAAAGCAGAGGTGTCGGGGTTTGGGATATTCACAGTACTTCAAAATATAATGCAGTCACCCTGTTAAGACATGAATCTGTAGTATTTAAACATTTTTCTAGCTTTTTGAAAAAAAATATTTATTTTTATTTAGCTGCACCAAACCTTTGTTGTGGCATGTGGGATCTAGTTCCCCGACTTGGGATCGATCCCGGGCCTCTTTATTCTGTATTTCAAGTTGATGTTTTTATTTTGGGGCAAAGCTTCAGTATAAGATAAACTCTTCTTGCCAGAACTTTTAATATTTCTGGTTCTCAAGTTTGCAGGGGCAATTAAAAGGTTTGATTTATTTAAGTTTTGATTTAAAAAGCTAAAAAGGATTTAAAGTCAAAGTGATAATGCTAATAAGAAATGAGAGTAAATAATCAAATTCATAATTCTTCATATAATTCCCTAACTGTTAAAATACTTCACCAATCTCAAAACTCAAATTGGTAAATATTTTTTCCTTGCACTTAATTACTTCTGGGAAACTTTTAGAAGCCTTTTCCTGTTTAAGCCATCTATGCACTTAACAACTAAGTCATTACTTTATATGCTCATAAATTAAGATAATGTTATTAAAACATCAGAATAATGTTGAAGTTCCAAATCTGACAGATTTACTTTGCTGATTCACTTGCGTAGCAATTATAATCCTTATTACTTAAGAAGAAACTCATTTAAAACTTAAGATTTTAAGATTTCCCCCATCCTATATACAGTAATGTGCTAAATCTGGAAAGAAATTAGCTTTTTCTTCCATTAAAAATTCTACTTTGAGTATCTTTGTTTCTTTGTTGTTAGGTGTCTAATGATTTATGATGTCTATCTTCTTTGTGAATTGTACCTTTTATCATTAAAAAATATTCATCTTTGTTTATTTAATTAAAAAAACTCTACTTTGAGAACCTTTAGTAATTCTATCAAGTTTGCCTCATCGTATTAGTCAAATTAGAAGTAAAAAGGCTAAATAAAGGAATTATTGAAGTAAAGTAACTGGAAAGATATGGAAGCCAAATTGACTTGGTTAAGCAGTGGCATCCTGACAGCAGGTCTGGAAACGTCACTTTCCTGGCAGCTGGATGTTATTACATGACATTGCAGGGAGCACACCTCTGAGAAATATGGCTCAGAGAGTGACAGCTGGCTAACCCATCCTTGTGGCGACGCCCATCAAAAGAAAATCACCAAAGAAACGGCTTATTACTGACAGCATATTCTCTTTAAAGAATCTTTACTATAAATGTATTGTTCTTAATATATTTAAATGAAAGAATGAGAAAAAACATTAACAAAATTTACTGTTAGTATTTTTGTGGAGGTCCATCTTTAACCTGGGCTTCCCTAGTAGCTCAGATGGTAAACAATCTGCCTGCAAGGCAGGAGACCTTGGTTCAATCCCTGGGTCAGGAAGATCCTCTGGAGAAGGAAATGGCTACTCAATCCAGTATTCTTGACTGGAGAATTCCATGGACAGAGAAGCCTGGAGTGCTATAGTCTGCTGCTGCTAAGTCGCTTCAGTCGTGTCCGATTCTGTGCAACCCCATAGATGGCAGCCCACCAGGCTCCCCCGTCCCTGGGATTCTCCAGGCAAGAACACTGGAGTGGGTTGCCATTTCCTTCTCCAATGCATGAAAGTGAAAAGTGAAAGTCGCTCAGTCGTGTCCAACTCTTAGTGACCTCATGGACTGCAGCCTACCAGGCTCCTCTGTCCATGGGATTTTCCAGGCAAGAGTACTGGAGTGGGGTGCCATTGTCTTCTCCGGGGCTATAGTCTATTGGATTACAAAGACTCGGACACAACTGAGCAATTAACACTTTCATCTTTAACTGTGTCTGGGTAGAACTTAACTTATTGATTGTTCTCATGTGTCTCACTCACCGTATATTTTCTTGTTAAATTTTAGTTCCCACCAAAAGGCCAGAAAATACCATGCAACAGTTAGAAAACGGAAGCAAACATGTGGAATGTACATTCGGGTACAACTTTTTATACTCCAAACACACACACACACATATTTTACATATATGAATATACAATTTGATATCTGGTCACTGCCAGCTCTTGTAGTCAATGATACAAATCACACAAGATAGGTTAAGAATTCTACTAAGAACAGTACTGTTTTGAGACATGGAAGTAAAGACATTAAGTTAATTAGTCATATGGAACTAAGGAATGAAGATCAAATCCATCTTTTATTACAAGAATAAAACTTTTCAACAGTCCATTTGCCATGCCTTTCTCTGTTTTTCAACCTAACTTGTACAACAAAAAGACAAGGGGATAATTACAAAAGCGAAGATAAGTATCTTACCATAGACTCCTTTGTCTAAAAGCAGTAAAAATTCATCCACAGCGTTACGCATCTCATATTCAGTAAGATCCAACAGTGAAACGACTTTGAAATCTAGCTGTCTTAACAAGTTGGTCAGTTCATACACATCCACCAAAGGAGCTTTAAGCTTGGGATGCTCCCAATAATTCATATTTCCTATCAAAAGAGCAACCTTGTCTTTTGCTGTTTAAAAAAAAAAAAGAGGAGGGGGAGACATTTAAAGGAGGATATAAAAAGTAAAAATAAAACTCAATAAAAAGAATGCCTTATTACAAATAAGATTTCATTATTTCATTTAATTTAAAGCTATCACTTTACATAGTAGAGCAATGCACTCTACTGAGGAATACAGAAACTGGTGAGTCAAACAACTGAGATTAAACTTAACTGATACTTTGGGAAATCAGGCAGAGGATATTAGTTGTACATGGATTGTAACAGTAACTAACATTACAGTAACACTTTTACTGATTTATAACAGAAGGAAAGAATGCTCAGTATAGACATTTAGAGCAAATTTAAATAATGTTTGGAATTGGGTTCCCATCAAATTAAGTTCTGTTCTGCTGATGACGGAAGAGGCCAGAAACAAAAGAAATACCGAAACGAGGGACCGGGAGGATCCCCATCAGAGCAGGTAAGGGGAAATGCCAAAGGCAGAGAAGTCGGGAGCTGAACAAACACTGCATTTTCTACTTTCTGTTCCTGTACTGTCTTCTCTTAGTTCTTAAAAAAAAACCTCCCATTTGGGTGAGATGTGGCTGCCTCAGGGCGGTGTGAAGAATTTTTATATGACTATCTTAGCAGTTCATTTTCTGACCTTAGTGAACTGAGGCTTTGCTAAAGACGTGGTCTCATACAGAGAGCTTTTCTGTTTTAAGGGGCAAAAAGATCCACGTTCTGCGTGCTCAGTCATGTCCAAATCTTTGCAACCCATCACCTGCAGCCGCGCCAGACTCCTCTGTCCACTGGTTTCTCCAGGCAAGAATACTAGAGTGCGTTGCCATTTCCTCCTCTGAGTGATCTTCCCAACCCAGGGATTAAACCCACATCTGCTGCATCGGCAGACGATTCTTTAACTACTGAACCACCCGGGAAGCTAAAAAGATGCTTTAAAAGTACCTGCGCCTTTAGAAATATCAGCTGGTTTATTTGGTATACAGTTTGTCCAAAAGAGTTGTGGAAGGCTGAGCGTAGTCTAGTGCTTAAGAGGTCCTCAGAACTGTACTTTTGCTAGCGGGGGTGGAGTTAAAAGTAAAGACTTGAGACTGGATGATACTAAAAATCTGAGGTTCCTCTCGAGGGCTGTCAGTGGGGTGTGCCCAGCACACACTGGGGTCTAAATCTGTGATGGAAACAGCAGGGGACAGCGGAGCAGGTGTAACAGGAGGGTGTGGCAGCCCCGGCTGGCCAGCTGGAGAGCTGGCTGGGACGTGGTGACCAACCTCATCCAACCTTAGTCACAAAGTGCTAAGTAGATTACTTATAAATGGACATGAAACAGGCACAGTCACAGTGCTGACTCAGCATTACAATACGTGATCTGATTTCAGGTCTTTAAGATGACTAATGTCACCAAAAATCTCTTTGGAATTTCTTCCTTTTCCACACTAAGGTCGAGGGTTAAACAAGGTCTGGAGAAAAATTAGCACCAACTCAAAGACAGTGACTCCCTCAAAGTGGCAAAACGCTCCACTTTGTGAGAAGACTCAAATACTTTTTTTTGGCCTCACCATGCAGCTTGCGCGTTCTCAGTCCCCCCGCCAGGGACTGAGCCCTGGGCCCTGGGCAGTGAGAGTGTAGAGCCCTAACCACTGGACTGTCAGAGAGCTCCCCTTGTTCGGTATCTTTGTTCTGTATTCGCATTTTCAGAGCTGCCTTGCAAACTGCCTTTTCTTATGAGAATCCACATTAAAAAAAGGATGAAACAACACGTAAGCCACATTTCTGATTCAAAGTCACTTTAAGTCCTGTACAAATGATAATCTCTTCTCCTACCCCAAAGAAAAGGCCAGTTTTCAAGACTATTTTAATAAACAGGCAAATTCAGACATAAAGCCTCTACTGTTTTTCATTTTAAAACTCAAAAAAAAAAAAAGTTGAGAATACTCAGGGTGGATTTCAGTTAGGAGGCAGTATAAAATTTATTATCACTTATATTTCCTTTTTTTTGAAAGTTTCTTCTTAAATAAACTAGAAATGTACTGTTACACTAATTTACCCCCTGTATACCAAGACGTTAGCTGGCTAATCCTCAGAAATATTTCAGAGCATTGTTTTCTGAGCCCATTAACCCTATCAGAGTTCAGAGCCAATCTTCATATACTGATGGACTCAGGCTCGGTTCAGCCTGCTCCTCAGTGAGAGGAGCTGGAGACTGGGGCCGGGCTTGCACCATCACAGCCCCAACCAGGGGCTTCCCAGTGACCGTCTTGGAGTAAAGTATCTGTGCTGCAGGGCGGATTTCTTGGTGGGATATTGCGACAATTTAGTATATATCCTACACTGGGATATTACGACAATTTAGTATATGTCCTACATTGGGATAGTGTGACAATTTAGTATATATCCTACACTGGGGTATTATGACAATTTAGTATATATCTTACATTGGGATATTATGACAATTTAGTATATGTCCTACACTAAGTTCTACTGGCAGAAAAAAGTTATGAGATATGTAACTGAAAAAAATCACTGGGGTCTTTAGAGGGAGGAAACAGTTGTTAGACTAAGCATACAGGCTGCCTCTGCTAAGATCACTGCTTTTGTCATCTGTTTGGAAAGGACACTTGGTACAGTACATAGATGCAAGGGTTTAGCCACTTGAGAACCATGGGGCTTAAAATCTATGTGTCAATAATTGACCATAACTCCTCAAAAACTTTCCCCCAGTGATAATGTGGGATCTTCATTCCCCGACCAGGGATCAAAACTGCACCTCCTGTGTTGAAAGTGCAGAGTCTTAACCAACAGACCTCCAGGGAGTCCCCCAGTGATAACTGTTAACAGTTTCTAAAATGTTTTGGAGCATCTTCTTGAGTTTGGTAATAAATATGATGGGTCAGTAACTTACCTTGCCCACTCTACTTGCAAAACAGTTCCTGAACGATAGTTGAACTTGGGTGGATTTAAAACAGAGAAGTAGACTGCAGTGGCCAAAATAGGAGATGACAAAGTCTGGTTCCAGGAATTAGCAGCAGAAAGGGAAAGAAAAAGTCAGAGATATGACAGAGAAAGAAACAGTAAAATTTGAAGTTGAGGAGATAAGAGTGAGGAATCAAAGAAAACTTCAAAATAACAACTATATAAGCAACTTATGATGGGTTTTCAAGTGATTAAAAATAAATGAAACTTTCTGTAGAAAAACATTTACTGTAAGAGCCACCCACAATTTCTTGAACACATACCATTCACTGGAAAAAGGGAACATAAACACCAGTTGATTAAGCAACAGAATAAAAACCACTTCAGAAGGGTATTTTAACTGTATGATCCTAGATATCTTCTAAAGCTTAATGAAATGTATTGTTTAAAAACCGGTACAAGTTACACCATTAACTCCATGTCTGATTATTCTAATGGTGTGCTACTCATTTCATCCAAAAATGAGTTAATGTTTATAAGCAAGTGGAAAAGGACCTGGCACACACTGAGCACTCCGTCAGCATCTGTTAAATAAAGAGCCTCTGGCCATCTAGCGGCGACTGAGCACCGACAGAAGGTCTGAGTGAACAGACAGTCCTTGTTGGTCCCATGCATCACATCTTTCTATGTCCTTCAAAGTAAAGTCCCGGCTCCTCAGTCTGGTGACAGAGCCACTCCTATTCTAGCCCAGTCTGCCTTTCTGGCTGTGGTAAGAGACGGCCCCCGAGGGTAGCCCCTCACTGTTCCCTGCCTTTACGCAGTGTGGCCCCTCACCCTGCCCCCTGTCCCCGGCTCCAAGTCTGGGCTGCCCTGTGATTCTCTCTGAACTAATGCAGTGGGACACTCTGCCATTTCTGGGTCTAAACCTTCAGAAGTCCTGAGAGCTTCCAGTTTGGGGACTCAGCCACTGTGCAAAGAAAGTCAATTACCTGGTGAGACCACGTGGGGGAGGAGAGGAGAGAGTGAAGCAGACTGAGAATATCACAGGACAGGAAAACAGGGGACCATATGCCCTTTGAAGGGAACAGCTATTTAGTCACAACAGACAGCTGTCACTCAAAAGCTACCATTTTTGAGAGAACCTATAAACCTGAATTTGTATACGTTATCTGATCACTGGCAGGTGATTCTGTTTGAAACCACTGTGTGGGACCCCCTCCCCCAGTTAGTGCCCTTTCTCCACAGCCTGAACGATCCCACGGGTGCTCCCCTCCGTGGGGTCAGCCTTCACCTCCATGCGGGTGATGCCTGTGACTGTGTCTCCGAGCCTGGCCTCTCCCGGAGTTCCAGGCCCAGGTGTGCAAAGGCCTGCTGTGTACCTCCGCCTAGACATGACACACCCCTCAGACTGGTTAGGGCGCAGAATAAGAACTCGCTGCTCTCTGCATCTTGCTTTTGCTCCTGTGTTCTCTAACTCAGTGGGCTGTCTGACCACCTGCCGAGTGGCCCAAGCAAGAATCTGAGCAGGCATGGTGACACCTCTGTGTTCTTTATACCCAAGAGTGAGGTGATGAAAAAAGCTTTACAGATTCCAGCATCTCAAGGTCTCCTGACTTGTTCTCTGTCTTCTTCTGCACTGTCTTGGTACTAGCCTGGTTTAGATTCTCATAATTTCTTTATCTGGACTATTGCAACAGTCTCAATTTTCCTCTTAACTTAAAACAATGTCTCCCTTCCAATTCATTCTCTATACACTGATACAAGACTGGCCTTTCAGAGGGACAAGCTCACTCCCCTTTCAAAGCTTCCTTCCGATGGCTCGTCTGAGAAATGGGGCTCCTCACGACCTGGCCTTAATATGCTTCTCTAAGTTCTAGCTCTTCCTGCTCTACAGCAGGGGTCCCCAACCTTCAGGATCTAATGCCAGATGATCTGAGGTGCAGCGGATATGATTAATAATAGAAACAAAATGCATAATAAGCATAATGTGCTTGAATCATCCCCAAACCATCCCCCCACCTCCGGTCCATGGAAAAACTGTCTTCCATGAAACAGGTCCCTGGTGCCAAAAAGGCTGAGGACCACTGCTCTGTGGGCATTGTGTGTTACTTGCAACTTTCCCAATACAACAAACATCCTGTTTTCTTTCTCTACGATGTTTATTTAGGATTTCACGTTTCCTCTGTCTGGAAGGCCCTTCTCCTATTCATCCTTCGACATGCAGAACTGCTACTGCAACCTCTCAGGTACTTTCCTAACTGCTAACCCCACCAAGATGCAGTATCACTCACTTCTGTGTGACCTACACATGCTTCTTTTTGCTTACATGTTTATTTTTTTGCACATTGCCAAACCAGAAATCACTCCACAGAAGCTGACCTGGACCCAGAAACTGAATTCATAATCTTTTTAATCTTTTTCTTTTTTAATTTATTTATTTATTTGGCTGTGATGGATCTTAGTAGTGGCACGAAAACTTTCAGCTGCAGCATGTTGGATCTAGTTCCCTGGCCAGGGATTGAACCCAGGCCCCCTGCATTGGGAGCATGAAGTTTTAGCTACTGGACCACCAGGGAAGTCCCTCATAATCTTTTCAAAGTCTCCTATTCTATAATTTCTTTTATAAACTATCCAAAATAGAATACATTATTCAAATATTTATACAAGTTGTCAATTTAAAAAAGTCTCAAATCCCTTCATAAGCCCCATAAAAGAGTTGTGTGCTACAATTATATTCGGTTATGGGGCTTTCCTGGTGGCTTAGATGGTAAAGAATCTGACTGCAATGTGGGAGACCTGGGTTAGATCCCTGGATCAGGAAGATCTCCTGGAGAAGGAGTATTCTTGCCTGGAGGATCCCATGGATGGAGGAGCCTGGTGGTTTACAGTTCACGGGTCGCAGAGGGTCAGCCATGCCTGAGTGACTAGCACTTTCACTTTCAAGCATTTTAAAGCTCTACTTACCCAAAGGTTGGTCAACTGTATGCTCTTGATTATCTACAGAAAGATAAAAACAAAAAGATAAGTGAGTTGTTATCCATAACGCATCTTTGGGGTGAGAGAGAGATGGAAACAATGAACAGTCACATCAGCAGTACACCAAAAGGCAGAATGTTTACAGCTAGTTTATGATTTTGAGGTTTTCAGGTTCTTGATTAAAAACGTGCACCTGGATGGGAGTCGGAATCAGGGTGAGGGAATGGCTCTAGTAACTGATTACTACAGCTGAGGGTGATACTCTTTAACATGTTAAGTAGAAGTTACAGCCTGAGAACGGCTGGTGGTGGCCATGAAGAGCAGCAGGAATGGTTACTACTTACTGAATGCTGGCTGGGACTATTGTATGTGTTGTGAATATAACTGGTTTAAACAACCACACTTTGTGAGGTATGTACTATTAGTCTGAGGCAGAGAAAGACTGAGTCACTTGCCCAGTGTTCTCAAGCTATGAGATCCCATTCCATGATCATGCTCTTTGCCATCATCTATACATAATAGGAAATACCTCCACCTCTCAGGGACCATGCAGGAAGACACACGGGGGGAGATGGACTTCAGACAGTCAGGTGTCTCTTGCTACAGACAGGGTAAGTGCATTTTTAATAATATATATGCTGTAAGAGTCCACTGAAAGTATATTCAGTTTTTTCTTAAATGCTTTGGTGTTTCTAATTCTTGGGGAGCAAGGATATAATGAAAAAGGTTGGGAAAGTTTTCAGAATTTTAGTGGTGTTGGTATGCAAAAGTTTTCCTGAAATAGCTTTCCATGATGCTCACTGAAGGGCATGAAATGACAGACACATTCAGGAAAAGGGGAATTCTAACCAAGTCAAGAGAAGCAACAGCTACAACACGAGGATGGCTGTTACAATGGCACTTCGTTCTGCGTTTGAAGCAAGTCTCATGGAGCTTTTCTGGAGCTCGAGGCTGGCCCAGCAGGAACGACACTCTGCTAACAGTGCCCCTCTGCTTCGTCTCATGGGCTTATAGTAATCAGCACAGCCCAATCATCGCGCACAAGAAGAAATGTTTAGTAACAAAACACAGGTGCAAAACTAAGCGAACTAGTCACGGTGTTAAAACGAGAAGGAACACATCAAGAAATAAAAGGGATCTCTACAAGTATTAACTGATGTAACTCCCGTCTCATCCCACTCTCTAGAGGTTTTATTTTCAGAGTCAGAGGTTCCCTCAGTGCCTTTCGGAATGCCCACAGCCCGGACTCAGGTCCTCTGTCTTCACGATTACTATGCCTTTCATCTCAGGCAAGCCTGCCCTTTAGCTTAACTTGTTCAGAAATCAGTTCTCACAAAATTGGCCAAAGGATGATAAATATTCCTGCCAACTATCAGTCTCTTCATGGCCAATGACAACCACCCGTCTGCAGAGCACCAACAGTCCCCAGTGACAATAGTTTTATTCAGATACAGACACCCACCCAACTAGTTCAGACATGTTCAATGTCCGGGCAGCTCTGAATGAGGACCCAGGGGTCTGGCGAGCTCAGAAATGTTACTCCTCTCACTTTTTCATAGGCTGTTTCTTGTCTCTCAAATTAATTTCATGCATTTCTCCATTTAGCTGCCTTTTTTATTTATAGTCATTCACAATGATAAATAAATACACTGATATTTTATATTGCCTCAGTATATTTATTTTTCTACCCTATTATCTTACAATTTAGAGTATTTTTAATATTTTCACTTGCATGAAATTGAACTTCATGTTAAGTACTGATTTCAACACTAAATTATGATATTTTAATCAAGGAAAAAAAGAAAACCCATTAGTACTGCTACAGCAAAAGAATACCAATAGTGTCTTTTTAAGTTACTGCATTCAATAATCTGGAACTCTAAAATGGATGTTTTATGTTTGCATTACTCACCAGGATGCCCAAGATTAGTTAATTCATCTAAAATAAAAAAAGAGAAAACAGATTAAATAATCTTTAAATAATTTAACTGCCAATTTAGTGCATATAGGAAGACTTATCAAAGAAGTTGACTTTATGCTTAAATTGTGTTACAATGCTTTATCAGGTTAGAATTTTTTAAATGCCTTAAATGAGAAGTCAGGCACATTGTGAGGAGGGGAGTATGCTGCTGTGGACATCAGTTAGGACTCCGAATCTATTACTATGTTCATGAAATGACAAAAAGCTAAGCAGACTCATCTTTAATTTGATCAAAGTTTTTTTAGATGTTTTGGCCAATTATGGGACAAAAACAATCAAGAGACAGGTTTGTCTATGGCCTCAACTATACACTTCTTGAAACTAATTAAAAACCTCAAATGATATTTTTAAAAATAAACTTAAGTTTAGAACAGGTTAAGATATATAAAACTACTGTGAGGACAGTGCAGGGTTTCTGCATACACCCACCTACTTTCCCTATTTTTAACATCTGACGTTAGGAAGGCATATTTGTCATAGTTAATGAACCATTAATGTTCTTTTTTTGTTCCAGGACCCTGTTCAGGACATCACGTCACATTTACCTGTGTTTCCTTGGGCTTCTCTTTGTTGTGACCATTTCTCTGACCTTCCTTGTTTTTGATAACCTTGACCACTTTGAGGATTACTGATAAGGTAAGGTACTTTGTAGAATGTCTCTAAATCAGGATATAGCTGATGTTAGACTGGTAGAATGTGTTTTTAAAGGTACTGTGGTTTCAGAATTGTTAACCTGTAGCCCCTTGGTGGCTCAGACGGTAAAGAATCTGCCTGCAATGTGGGAGACCTGGGTTTGATCACTGGGTGGGGAAGATCCCCTGGAGGAGGGCATGGCAGCCCACTCCAGTGTTCTTGCCTGGAGAATCCCATGGACAGAGGAGGCTGGTGGGCCACAGTCTATAGGGTTTCAAAGAGTTAGACACGACTGAGCGACTACACACAGCACACAGCCTCTGGCTAATGGAGGGAGAGAATCATCTAAGCAAATACCTATGACATTAGAGCTACCTATGTTTCCTTTACAAATTTTATGAAGATAAAAGTTAACATTCACAATAAATTACAAATGCTGTACTACTCATAAAATGTGCAGTAATTTCTGTGATATAAAACCAACTACAAAGTGGTATTCGCTAGAGTACGGGGTCATGTACAATTTCTTCTGTCTTCTGTGTTCACTCCTTCCCAGGTACTCAAGCCAGCACCTGTTCTTCCATCCCATGTCAGTGAGGCTGCTTCACCCACTTGTAACAGGTTTAGATTCTTATTATCTGGCTGTGCTGTGTCTTCATTCGTTGCTGCGCGAGGGCTTTCTCTAGCGTGGCTCACAGGCTCTAGAGCAAGGCTCAGTAGTCGTGTCGCACGGGCTGAGCTCCTCCGAGGCATCTGGGATCTTCCCGGATGAGGGATCGGACCTGTGTCCCCTGCTCTGACAGGTGGGTTCTTAGCCGCAGGACCACCCAGGAAGTCCAGGTTTAGGTCCTTCTGTCATACTCTCATTCCATTCTGGGGTTGCCCTCCTCTGACCTCCTAAATGACCTAAAACCTGCATACATGTGTTCACCACTGCAGCTGTCAGAGTGTTTTCACTGCCCTTAAAAAAACCCTGAACTCCACCTATTGAACCCCTACCCTCTCTCCCAATCAGGGATCTGTAACAAAGCACATAAAATGAAACAGATCACATCAGGCTCTACAGGTAAGAAAGATGAGGTGTGTGTGCCATAGGACATCACTGCTGTGTGCCCATCCACCAACTATAACATGCCTCAACACTGCAGACTTTTTTAGAAAGAAAAGTTGGATCTAATTTTTCCATCTGAAATTTTGAGAATAATTTCGTAACAGATTTATTTGAAAATTATTATCTAATAGTGTGTTTGCCACTGCAAAATTATAGGGAGAATCTTGCAGGTAAAAAACCAGCAAGGTGGTAACTGACATGCATCACCCTGAAACTAGCGATGCCAGTTTGCATTTATTCTTAAGAGGTCTGCAGAGTTAGGAGATTTTAAAAATCATGCAATTAGGTGAAAAAGAAGGAAGAGGAGTTTGCTTAGGATCTCTTTACAAAGATTCCCTCATGCAGGGCCCACAGACCACGGGATTACAACACTCCCTCATGCTACAGGAATTCTTGTCGGCAACTATGATTGGGATGAAAACAGTAATTTCAGAACTTCAAAGTGACACCATAGCAATACAAAGGACAGGGAAACCAAGAAACATAAGAGGTGACATTATTTTCTTTTCTTACTTTGCCCAAGTAGAGCCAAAGATTTTTCTAAGAGGTTAAAGAGGCAGAAATTGAAAAAATACTTTGCTATCTACAAATCTAATTTTGCAAAACAGTGTGACACCACACTAGGGGCAGGTAAGTTAAGGTTTAAAATTTATTCATTACAACTTATGTGCAAGGCATTGGTTAATAAAAAAAAAATTCAAAGTTTATGTTAAAATAACTTTCAGTTCTCTGTGTAGTATGGTAAAGGTGACATGGTACCTTAATCTATAGTCTTATAACTTCAAAGAATGGATCTTATAAACTTATATTAAAACAGTATACTTATTATTAAATAAAAAAATGCATTAAACAATAAATTTCCAGTCCTGAAACTGTTACAGAAATTATGTTTGCATTTGAGAGGCATTTTATCATGGCAAACAGATAAAATAATCTAAACAACTATCCATGACAGGATAGCCATGTATTTTTCTAAATTTTATGAAGATAAAAATGAACATTAAGAATTAATCACAACTGTTCACTATTTGTAAGATATTGCTGGAAATTAGTTATTTTAATAATGTGTCAATTGAATAGTGTCTGGGGCAATTTATGAACCCTTGAAGACTAACATACAGTATCCTTGCATTAAAATCTTTTTTTTTTTTTTTAATCTTTTCTTATAGCTAGTATTTTTTCCATCACTGCACTCAGTAGACCAGGGCACTCCACCAATCCCAAGATGAGCCAGCATGCAGGATATTTGCTTTCAAACCAAAGGATTACACTACCTTCAGTGCATTCCACTGCCTCATCTGTTCTTCCTTGTTCCAGAGAAAACAAATGTGAATACATTGTGATTCATGATCTTAGGAAGGGCGGCCATCAAGCAAACAGAGATAAATATCATAGAAATATGTTGGCAAACCAACATACACATCAATTGCATCAATATCTCCTACTATAACAATATCACTAAATGCATGAAGCTGAAATAGAACCAACTCCCAAATTATGTACTTCGTAAGTAGCACTGTTAATTAATAATCATTCTGCATATGTCTGTGATGTTTGTTTCTTTAATAATGTTTTATTAGAAACCTTTTCCAATTAAACCCAGGGTTATTTTTAGCTAAAGCAAGGAATACATTTTTTGCCATAAATGTTTAATATAAACTATAAAATTAAAAAGATCTAAATAGATAATCTTTTTTGGTTCTTTCCTGTTCTTTGTGTGTGAGTCCTCATTATGAATTTAGGATACATTCTAATTTCCATTTAAGCAAAATAACTCCAGACACTTAACATACCATCAAGTAGAATGGGTGAATAAAACTGCTGCTGCTCAGTATACTTCATCGTATATAATCAGAACCCTGAGCGGTACTGCTTACCTACGATGACGTCTGCTTTCTTGCTGTCTTGACTCTCTCGATCATTATATACACGACACCAGTAGGTTCCTTGATGCTCCAAATCCACATAAGGTACCTAAATCAGTATCAGAACATGCACATATTGACTGACTCTTTAATTTTAATGGCTTGGAGAAAATTATTATTATTATTATTTTAAACCCTACAAAACTGAACATTGCAGATTTCCTCCATTTTTTCCATTCATTATATGAGCTCAAGTATTAGCAAGCAAATACAACAACGAATCTAATGGTAAGTGAGTCTGATGGGATACTAGTTGACATTTTTCATATATAAGCACTTACATATGGGCTGGCATTGTGTTCTAGCCCTTTTGCTAGAAAATCAATTAATATTAGATAATAAAGAACTTGAAAAAATACAAAAAACTTGAAAACACCCCAAAGAATATGAATCACTACTCACTGTGATTTTCCATTATACTACTTACTTTACGTATTAACCACCCCAAATGTCCCCGAGACCAACTTCCTACCATGTATAGCTTTTTTGTCTCGTGTGTTAATCGGGATTCATTCTTGAACCACTGGTACTGAGGAATGGGGCTTCCAACAGCCACACACTGTAAGATCAACGTGCTGCCAGGCATCAGTTTTTGGGACTTTGGTTCAACACAGATTTGCAACTTGGATTCAGAGATGCCATCCCAACTGCCTTAAATTAAAAGAAAAATAGCACTGAACATAAAAATCTCGATTAAAAAAACTTTATAATTAAAAAAATACTTTCAAGTTCATCCTTCATTTTTTTTCATGATCTTTAATACAATCTCCCAAATGATGTTTCAGAAAACTGCTGCACTTCTAGAAATATTAAGAGATGTTCTATGGATAAAAGAATGCTATGGACAAATCAGTTTAGAACATTCTGGGTTAAACAAAGTTAAACAGGTTTCTTTACTGCAGAACCTCTCAAAAGTATCCGCATGTACTAAATAGTTAAGAGGAGAAAACAGTTCAAGTGGTCTCTAGATGTGCTAGCCATTTCTGGTAGAGCGAAGGGCTTAACATCTTGCGTGACATTCGTGTTTAGAACAGAGAGCTCTTGTTCTGCTGTTTGATTTAACTTGCCTTCTTAAAATGAGGAGTTTTGTTATATGGATGGGTTATCACTAGCATTTCTTCCCAAGGCAGATATCAGAAAGCGTTTTTTATTGAAGACTCATCTGTCAGTCTTAAAAGCCTTGAGGACAGAGGGCTTGTCAATGAGATGTGGTAACAATGAAATTCTGGGTCTAGCACACTGCAGGTGATCAATAATATTTGTTGAATGAACAATATTCTATTCATAAACATGAAAGTTCACAGAAATATTCTAAAAAAATATAAACCATTCTCTTAATTAATCATGACTATTTCTAGAGACTTTATTCAGGTGTGAGAAAAGCTAAACTGAGAAGAATGGAAGATACAATTGGCAACAAGTCTGTTTCCCTCATGCTTTTTGTCTGGCAAAAATGACAAACATGGTTCTTGACTGTGTGTGTGAATAAATAAAATACCTGATGGCTACTCTTTAGAAGATCCTGGGGTTTTTCCTTGATCAATACTAGTTATTATACTAAAGAGCGGATGGCAAAGAGTTGAAAACTAGCTGGATGAAAGGCTTCATTGCAGTGACCGATACTCTATAAGCCCTGTCATGCCAGTACCGACTCTACAGATAGTCTTTATTCTATGACACAACTTTTTAGGAGTAATCCAATAGTTTGGGAGAAGAAAAACACAGTATAGACAGGAGCTCAAAAGTGAGCCAGACTGCAGTAGATCTCTTTTCTCCTCCACAATCAGAGACCACGACATTCAGACCCATGAAAGGCGGCAGGTTTCCAGAGACCAGCAGCAGGGCCAGACTGAGACAGGCCGTTTCACCCCAAACACCTGCGTGTCTCTCCGTCTGTCTCTCTATCCATCCATCCTTACAGAGAAGCATCAAAGCACATGGGATAAAATCTTAATGACCGGTGACATTATACTGGGGGAAGTACTATACATTATATTGGGTGAGTACTAGCTTTGATACTTTGAAATGACTTAAAAGCAAACATTTAAAGTAAAATTCAAAAGAGGCAACTCCCATCCCAGCACTCAATTTATCACTTACTCCGGAAGCTTTCTGTTACTTCTGTGACATCGCAAACATCCAGCTGTGACCACTGGCTAAATTCAAAGGTGAAATTATTATTAACTCGACAGACATAAAAGCCTGCATCTTTTACATGCACTGTGTTAAAAACAAGTTCAGATGCATTTCCATTTGGAATCTGTGAAAGAATCAACAAGAGGATAAAAGTGAATGACTCATCAAAATACACCTTATAAACTGTGCTGTGCAAAATGTATGATTTCCTGGGAGCTCTGAAAATTTTATCTTTTTTCTCCGCATTCTAAAATATCTGTCCCTTAAGAAGCAAACAATAACGTGTTAAGTAATTTAGGACTGAAGTCAGTGAAATCCAGTATTTTACACATCTGTTAACTGGACAGTTAAGCTCTATCCCATATATCTCTCAAAAACTCACTAACAGCGAAGTGTCTATTCTGTCCTTTAAAATTGTTTGATCATTAGTATTTACAGGCTTGAGAACTGCAACATTTATGAGCTCAGTAGCCATACCACGAAGGAGTAAAGAGATCACGGAAAGTCCGGCCTGGCTGCTCATCTCAGTTCTGATCAAATTAGCTGTGAGCATAAGAGCAAGTTTTACCCTGAGACCCCAGTTTCTCATCTGCAAAGTTCTAGTGGAGGATAGAGGCCTTGACGAGCACACTTCTTTCAAGGCCTGGGAGGTGAAGAGCTACGGGAAGCGTGTTGGTGCCAGGAAGGACTGGCCACTCAGGGGTATCCTAAGCCTTCCTCCTGGGCCTGGATCATCTCAGCTGCTCCTGTCAATTTACCACCACCACCCAACTCTGGCATACTGCCAAGGTTTGACTGGGCGCCTCCTTATACAGGAGCCCCCTTGCAAAGGACTTTAACACACTCCCCCTCTCCAAGCCCCAACCAACTGAATTCAGCTTTCTCTCCTCTCAGAACCTGCACCAGAGCAAGACAGTGGTGCTGAAGATCTGACAGCTGGGACAGAGACTGCGCTGAGCGCTGCCTGCCCACCCTCCCACATGAACCCACCTCGTCTGCTTTCCTACTAGAACAGTCCTGGGTACTTTCTCTCCCGCAACCCCACTCCTCTCAGCCACTGACTTCAGATAGGAACTCTCTCCTCTTCCAGCTACCGAACCACAAACCTGAGCCCGTGCCTATTTAGAGCTGCTCTCCTCTCCTGTGAAAATGGAAAAACCTGTCTTCCTAACAAAGGCCTCTTGGGCTTTGCGTGAGGATGCGTGAGGATCCTAACCGCTGGGAACCCCAGAGTTACTCTGAAGGTTAGTTCAAGCTGAAGATGTTTGGGACTCAACAGATGCAGAAAGAAGGCTTCTCAGAGCTTTCCTTATCTGACAAAAGCAGCAATTTCTGGGAGATGAGACTACCATAAATTCCCTCTTCAGGATGGCTTTTACTTCCAGGAAGCCGATCAAATTCACCATAAATCCCTTCTCCAGGGGTGTTTTACGACTATGAAGAAGATGGAAAGACCACTTGCACCCGCGTGAATAAATATTATCATCTGTCTTTCTTATCATCAGTCTATTTCTTATCAACTTTCTTATCATCTGTCTATTCTCCCAGAAACCCTTCTGTATGTATTTCCTAAAGAAACCCATGTTTCTTCCTGTAGAGGCTGTTTCTTCCTCATCCCTTTTCCTATAATTTTAACCCAGCATGGAGCTACTTCTTTTGTAAATTCCCATATGAACAAATTTTCTCTTCTTAACCTGTATTCTGTCAGTTGATTCACTGGCTCCCACGGACAGGACATGAGAGGGTAGAGGAGAAGTATTTTCCTCTCCAACAATTTGATCCTCTCTGGCCTTACTCCTGCAATTCTCTCTCTCTACTTTAGCATCTGTTTCTTTTATTAGAGCATTGTCAAAAACATCCTCTAGTACCTTTATATCTTAAATAAACAAAAATAATCCCAAATGTCCTGCCCTGGGCCCACATACCCCTCAGCAGTGCTGGGAACACTGACGCCCTTTTCTTCCTGAAGTGCTTTCCCAAGGGCTCAGACCAGCCTCTCCTGGTCATGCTCTCTCTCGCGCGAATTCTTCTCAGTCTCTCTACTGCTTCCCCCTCTGCCACACACACTCTCAGTGCTGCCTCCTGGGGTATCCAAGCTGACTTAGATGCATTCAGACTTTAATAGGCACTTCAAACTTCACGTGTCTAAACCACACTCTTGATTTCTCACCCTAAATCCCTTCCTCTCCCTTACTCCGATACCTCAGTAAATAAGAGGTCCCCAGAGGCCGAGGTAAAAACTCTGAGGTCATCCTTGATTTCTCACCCTGAATCCCTTCCTCTCCCATTCTCTGATACCTCAGTAAATAAGAGGTCCCCAAAGGCCGAGGTGAAAACTCTGGGGTCATCCTTGATTTTTCACTCTGAATCCCTTCCTCTCCCAGTCTCTGATACCTCAGTAAATAAGAGGTCCCCAGAGGCTGACGTGAAAACTCTGGGGTCATCCTTGATTTCTCACCCTGAATCCCTTCCTCTCCCAGTCTCCGATACCTCAGTAAATAAGAGGTCCCCAGAGGCCAAGGTGAGAACTCTGGGGTCATCCTTGATTTCCCACCCTGAATCCCTTCCCCTCACAGTCTCCAATACCTCAGTAAATAAGAGGTCCCCAGAGGCCAAGGTGAAAACTCTGGGGTCATCCTTGATTTCTCACCCTGAATCCCTTCCTCTCCCAGTCTCCGATACCTCAGTAAATAAGAGGTCCCCAGAGGCCGAGGTGAAAACTCTGGGGCCATCCTTGAGCTCTGCCTCTTCCCTCAGGCACCCCGTTTAACCTGCCAGATCCGGTGAGCTCTGCCCTAAAATAAAGCACCTTGCCCACTCTGCTCTGTCTCCCCTGCCATGTCTGAGTTCACACCACAGTTACTTCCAGTCTACTGTAGGCATTTTGTTACGCTCTTGCTTCCATTTAAGCAGCGCAGTCAGGGGACTTGCCTGATGGTCCAGGGGCTAAGACTCTGCTCTCCCAGTGCAGGGGGCCTGGGTCCGATCCCTGGTCAGGGAACTAGGTCCCACATGCCGCATCGCAACTAAGACCCGGCGCAGAGAAATAAACACTAAAAAAAAGCAGTAAGCTGGTGTTTTAAGAACATAAATCCTTCTCTGTTACTTCTGTTTAAGGCCTTGAGTGTCATCTCCCTTGGTATCACCCTGCTTATCCTCCTCTCACAGCTCTTAACTCAGTTATCTCATTTGCTCCCTGTCTCTGCCCAGTGGAGGGGGCAGGGCCCTTGGGTGTCACGCTTCACCATCCTGGCCTTAGAACCTGGACAGGTGCCCAACGAGTGGTCGTGAGACGAATGCCTCCTGAAACAGACTATGAATCTAAGGGTTGAGACAGAACTCCACTGGTGAGAGCCTTAGAACCCATTACAGCTCTTCAAATCCACCGGGCACTCCTCCTCCCCTCGCTTTCTCCCCTTCTCAAAATCAGGACATGGTTCACACGTGATGTACTGGGTTGGCCGAACAGCTTCTCGGGGTTTTCCTGTGACACCTTATGGAAAAACCCAAACGACCTCTTTGGCCAACCCACTACTTACCATTGTAAGATTTGCCCATGATTTCTTTCTCAAAGGCATTCACTGAAATGAAAGCCACTTTGCAGTTGAGAAGCTATGGTAAAAGTAACTTTAGTTACCAGCCCTCGAGAGCCTAGGCACGTAAAGTGTCCTCTCCGTCAGGCTCTCAACCCCCGGTGAGAGGAATTTGAGCGGCTCCTGACAGTCAAGCGCCCAGCGCAGGCCTGTCTGCTGCTGGTGCCCGCGCAGTCCCATTACTGCGGCTCACGGCTGCCCTGGCTCACCCGCGTGTGAGGGATGGACATTAAAAGGTGTACAAATCCCCATGCTGCTTCTGAGGCACAGGGTGATCCCATCAGAGGAAAGAACATCATTTTGAAGCAACTCTTGAGCTTAAATCCATTTGCAAATGGAGTCTTAGTGTTTGGTTGAGAAGAAGGTTTGGTCATGTGACGAACAGGCTGAAAAGAATAATGGGAGTTCCAGGGTGCCATCTGGAGGGCAGGCAGGGAGGCGGGTGGTGAGGGGAAGAGAGGCTCTCCTGAGACTGGGGCTCGGCGTGGCCGGACCACTGAGGAGCCCCCAGCGGCAGAGTGGCTCAAAGAACGCTTAATGGCTTTTTTTAAAATCATTTTTTAAATTGGCCTCACTGCACGGCGTGTGGGTTAGTTCCCTGACCAGGGATTGAACCTGTACCTCATGCATTGGGAGTCTGGTGTCTTAACCACTGGACCACCAGGGAAGTACTTTCAAAGACTGTTTAAGAAAAGAGAATTTCAACATGCAAATTTAAATTATTTGTTGGGTGGCTCAGGGATACAACCCTTTCACCAAAGGAACAAATGTCCCTACCAACCTGAATTTTACTTCAGAAACTACCATAAAAGCCTAAATCTTTTGATATAGTTATGTGGAATGCTTAAAATAATACTGCCTTTCATGCTGCTTTGAAAACCTTTTAAAGATTATGATTGGAATAATCTGTTGTAAAGAACTCTGTACATCTATGTAAGGAGGTATTAGTGATGCTTCCCGTTTGCTAACATTGTTGCCCTAGGTATTCCTGATTTTCCACAATTTTCAGAATACAGAACTGATTTTATTACTGCTTAGAAAGTAATGATTACTGAATGCATCAGTAATAACACCGACCCTTTAACAAGGACCTATCAAGTGCTTTTACAAAATTCCTATAAACACATTAAAGACAGTAGGGCTAACTAATCTTCTCTTTTCTCTCTTCTTTGTTGTTATTCAGTTGCTCAGCTGTGTGTGACCCCCATGGACTGCAGCACGCCAGGCTTCCCTGTCCTTCACCATCTCCTGCAGGTTGCTCATACTCAGGTACAATGAGTTGGTCCTCTGTTGCCCCCTTCTCCTCATGTCTTCAATCTTTCCCAGCATTAATCTCTCTTGACAGAGGAATTAAAAGACATTTAAAAGACATTAAAAATTACCTCTTTATTCATTTTGAACCATTGATATTGTACAAAAGGATGTCCAGTTGCCCGGCAACACAGCTTCACAAACTGTCCCGCCAAGACTGCCTTGGATTCGGGGTTTACAGTGATCTTTATTCCTTAAAAAAAAAAAAAGGAAGTTATATAAATAGAATCAGAGAAGAGGGGCTTTCCTTGTTTATGTTTCTGAAACCAAAAAGAGAAATATTTTGGAAATAACCTGCATATTCATTCTTGTTATAAATTACTCACTCATATTTCTTCCTCATCAGATGGTGAGTCTGTGAGTTCCAGGCTCTGTAAAACCAGAAGGAAAGAAACTCACCTGCAGAAGACTTTGATCGACCACATCCCCCTCACCCTCCACGACTGGGGGAGAAAACTGTTCGCTCTATTTCTTCAGTTCTGAGAAATATTTTTTCCATGTCCTAATGCCTTTGAAATCAGGCTGTGCCTTTAATAACTGTCTGAGGGAGCAGTCAGGGTGCGCTCTCACTGCCAACTCTGGGACTATGTGGTCACAGTGCTTATACGGTCAGCGCTTCAACTCAGGTGCATGGTTTTTGTAAGACAAATGTGAGTTTAAATGCCATTGAAATGTCTTCAAAAGACATTCCCTGGAGGTCTAGGGGTTAAGGCTTCACCCTGCAATGCGTTCGACCCCTATTTGGGGAACTGAGATCCCATGTGGCTCCTGGCCAAAAAAGATAAAACATAAAACAGAAGCACTGTTCTGACAGATTCAATAAAGACTTTAAACAAAAACTGGTCCACTTAAAAAAAAAGAATTCCAATGCTATGGTTTAGCGTTAAAATAAAACTATTCTGGAAGCAGAAAGGCAGAGAAACAGAAGAGCCTGATGAAAATTTGATACATGTGATGCAAACATTTCTCATCTGAGAAATGACTACCAGCGTCAAAACCTGGGGGCGGGGGCGTGCCACATGGCTTGTGGGATCTTAGTTCCCTGACCTGGGGCCTCAGCAGTGGAAGTCTGGAGTTCAAACCACTGGATCGCCAGGGAATTCCCCAAACATGGAACACTTTTGAGAGGCGCTTCTTGTCAAAAATCCTGGAGTTAATAATGGAATACCTCCTCTCCCTCTGGGAAAGACCGCTGCAAATCACGGGGATACCTGGGCAGCTTCGCAGAGAGGCCTGGGTGAAAGGAAAGCAACGCGGGACTCCTGCCAACAGCCATGTGCGTGAACCATCTGAGCAGAGGGTTACCCAGCCCCATTTGGACCTTCAGATAGCTGCAGCCCCGGCTGATGGCTGGACTGTCACCTCATGAGAGACCCTGAGCCAAAACCAGCCGGCTCAACCACTCCTGGATTCCTGCCCTCAGAAACTTGGAAGTAATCAATGGCTGCTGATTTTAAAATTCTTGGTCTTGGAATAATTCATTATGCAGCAGCAGATAACTGACACAAAAGGAACCAAAGCTAGGACATTTCACACTTGCCAGGGTTTTAATACATAAATCTTGGCTTTCGTGCTAAATCGCTTCAGTGGTGTCCAACTCTTTGCGACCCTATGGACTGTAGCCTGCCAGGCTCCTCTGTCCATGGGATTCTCCAGACAAGAAAACTGGAGTGGGTTGCCATGCCCTCCTCCAGGGGATCTTCCAGACCCAGCGATCAAACCCATGTCTCATGTCTTCTGCATTGGCAGGCGGTTGCTTTACCACTAGCGCCACCTGGGAAGACCAGCTGGCTTTCAGAAAGGAGAAATAATCATTAAAACTTATAAAACTTAATTTCCCAGGCCTATTTTTATTTTTCCTCACGTATCCTGAACACGATCGCATATCTTTTTCTTCTACAACCCAGTAATGCAAACGAACAAAACAAGATTACCGCTGAAGAGGAGACAGTCTTAAAGAACAGCAATCTTAATACATGAAAGATACTAAACTTTCAAGGGAAAGAATAGTATATAAGGCAAAACAGGCATGTGAAATCCATGCAGGAAAGACAAAGGATAAAACCAAAATCCAAAATGAGTAAACATTTACTGCATTCCTAGCACATCTGAGGGTCTGGAGAAACCCAGGAAAATCAGTAAATACAGCAGCTGCTGCTGCTCCTAAGTCGCTTCAGTCGTGTCCAACTCTGTGCGACCCCATAGACGGCACCCCACCAGGCTCCCCCGTCCCTGGGATTAAAATACAGCAGAGCCTCTCAAAAAAAATTTACAACTCCTGCCAAGGAAAAGCTTTCATATTCATTCATCCTTTCTGTGGATGCCAACTGAGCACGGGATGGCTGAAGTAGCAGCTTTCCTGAATTCCGTTATCCGTGTTAGTAGGAAAGTATATGCTGAAGTCAGAAAATGGGGTGAGCACTCTTACTTAAGCCAGAAAATTCACACACTGTATTTTAACACTCGCATATACCGTTCATCTGCCAGGAGAGACCTACATCACAACTTTAAGATGCAAGGATTCTCATTTCCAACGTTTAAGTATGATGAGAGGGAAGAAAAAAAGTTGCAAAACCAACAGAAGGGAACAAGTACAAATTTGAACTATACCTAGGCACTGTAGCTAAACTGGCTTTAAAATGTGGGTGCCTATAGCCACCTCAAATGTACTGTCCCCAGTCGCTCCGGACACAGAACCCCTACCCCTTCTAGATTCCCAGGCTTCCCCGTCTCAGGGAGGACAGACCAGGCCTCAGCCAGCCCCGGGCCTCCAGCGACTCACAACAGACCCTCCGCACACTCCCTTCTTCTCCACGTATAATTCAGCTGCAAGTCCTGTCAGACTTTCCCATGTCTCACCATCTCCCATGCCGTGATCTCAATCCAAGCCGCTGTCCCCTCCTGACTGTTGCCACAACCTGCTAGCGTTCTTTCCTTACTTCCAACCAGCAGCTCAATGTCTTTTTAAAACAAATGGATCCACAGCTCCCCTCTGATTAAAAACCCTCTTCGGACCTCGCCCTGGACCTAGAATATGACCCGAGCTCCTTATGTGGCCGAGGAGGCCCTCTGTGAACGGACCCCCCTGCCCTTGTCCCGCCGGCTCCTTGCCCACCGCGCTCCAGCCATGCAGGCTTCTCCTCCAGAGGACAAGCTCTTTCCTGTCTTTTCGCTTCCGGTTCTCTGCTGGATTTCGCCCCCAACCCCCACTGTCTCCTGGCAGACAATTTTAACACCCAGGTCCTCAGCATTTCTGGGAAAGGTCTCTACGTGGGTGACCCCCACCCTCCTTCCCTATGGCAGCCTGCCAGCTTTGCGGGCTTCAGCGCACTCGTCACCTGAGGTCTCGTTTCTTACTGTCTCACCTACTCAACCAGAGGTTACTGTCTTAGTCACCGGTTCACCTGATGCCTAGAGCAGTGCTTGGCACAGTGCAACAGTGGGTGTTCAACACATATTTGCTGAACAAATGTGTATTTTAATAATAAAAATGACTACAGCAGCGATTTTACTGACTGCTTTTGCCCACCATTTTGAATTCTAACCTTCAAAATAACCATGGTAATTAGATCGATGTTACAATAAGGAGAAATGAACTTAAGTCATTTGCATAAAGTCATTCGAGTTACCTTGGGTAAATTATTTAACCTCCCCAGGACTAATTTTTTCTCACTGTAAAATGGCAGCACCAGGATGCAAACCTATATTTTCCTAGGCTTTAATACTCTTTTAAGCCTTTTGTTATCCCAGTGATCTTTTTCCTTCCACCTTTACTGAAGAATAACCAACAAAAACTGCATATATTTAGGGTGTACAGCATGATGGTTTAATAGTTATACATTGTGAAATGCTTGCCACAATAAGCTAACTCATCAGCTCACACAGTCATCATTTCCCAGTGATTCTTTTCTTGGGGCCTTGAAGCATGGGAGATCTGGCTTCCCAGGTGGCTCAGTGGTAAGGAATCTGCCTGCCAATTCAGGAGCCACAGGAGACGTAGGTTCCATCCCTGGGTTGGGAAAATCCCCTGGAGGAGGAAATGGCTACTCACTCCAATATTTTTGCCTGGAAAAATCCATGGACAGAGGAGCCTGGCAGGCTACAATCCATGGGATCACAAAGAGTTAGACGCAACTGAAAGTACAGCATGTGAGATCTTAGTTCCTTGACCAGGGACCAAACCTGCACTCCCTACACTGGAAAGCAGTCTTCACCACTGGACTGGCAGGGAAGTGCCAGTGTTCTGGCGATCCTCAATGTGTCTCCCATGCTAACCCTATCTTCTGCCAGAGTGAGTCTCTCTTACTGGAAGGAGTGTATCTTGCACCATGACAGTGCCTCAAAATTTACCTTGGAGAAAATACTCTGCTATTACACAAAAAGACAAGAGAGGAGATAGAAGGAACTGAAAAGCTTTCTCTCTAGAGGGTCTCAAAGAGAAATGAGCGACTTTAGTCAAAGCAGGCCACGTGACCAGGATGTTCCAGAAGCTTCCTTTGTGGGAGACAAGACTAAGTAACTTTTAACAGTAACTTCAAACTCACAGTTTATACACCGGTCCTGTGCCAACAGTTTTAGTTGTCTAGGTCTTCAGGAAGCAAGCAAAGACATGTCTTTATTATTTATTGCTTCAAAGACTGAGAACTGAAAGGCAAAGTGTGATTTGAAAACCACCCTGGGTGAGGAGTTAAAGAGAGAAGTCACAGTACCTCCTATGTTTCAACCACATATGCTTCCTTCCTCCCACGTCGTGTGTGTGTGTGTGTGACCGGGAACCGTGGTCACCTCTAACCACCCTCGCGCAGTGCCCACTGGAAGGTGCTGAGACAAAGCTGGGAGGGGGGATGGCACAGAGCTTGGGGGGGTGTCCGAAGGCACACAAATGAAAGCTCTGTTTTAAAGGGCGATCGCACAGTTTCCTGGCAAACAAGCCTATTTTCAGATAACATCTGCAAAGAAGTCAAAGAAGTTACTTGATTTCCTGTAAGCTGGGGACAATCTGACTGGGTCTGATGGCACACGAGGATTGTGCTTTCAACACACACACCTGTATAGAACAACCGGTTCAAGACATTTAACAATAAAACCCCCGCTGGAATTGCTACATAGATAAACAAGGGTGATTCTTGACTTGACAGAAGGATTCCTCAAAGGTTCCCTTTGCCTTATTCTCTCTTACAAAGCACTTGAACTGATGCAACGCACAACTCTTCCAGGAATAGATCTATTATGTATATTACAGTGCATCTATTTTCAGAGGCCATGAACCAAAAAAGCCGTTTCCGCCATCTTCCATTTAAAACCCTCCCTCCGAGGTTTTATTTTGAGCATTTGTAGGCTATTACTGAAAAGCACGCCAGAGAGTCCCAGAATAAACATCATCCCTCTTCCTTGAACAATTTCCCCTCATTACACAACCAGTGTGTGTCCATGCACTTTCCTCCTACAGGTCAATTTACATTTGTATCTGCTGTGGCTAAACCTGGTCTTCCAGCTCACTCTGCTCCTGCTTCCACCTCACCGACTACCTGCAGCGTCCCGGCCCGGAAACCCACCCTCCCGGCCCTTGTCACCATTCCCCTTCTGTTTCTCGGCTTTCTTGATCTTCCTTCCATTTTTACCTCTTTTTCCTTCTTAACATCCTGCTTTAAGGAATTTCTGTTGTTCACAAAACAAGATGAGTCCCTTGTAAGTAAGATCTAGTACCTGAGTACTTTTTAACTTGTCAAGAAGAGAAAAATTGAAGTCCGTGGGTCAAAGAGGAAATTGAGTATGACAATCTGTAGCTAAGCTTCCCAATCTAGAATCTTCCTAGCATTATTGGAGAGGACAGTGAGTTCACGCCAGTTTCTGATCCTACTTTTGCCAACAATCAACTGTGATTTTGGCCAAATGATAACTTCCAGTAATCTCCTTTTCCACATAACTGTGTGCTCACATTTAAAATTTAAAAGTTCATGACAGTCCTGTTCTGGTCCTTCACAGAACTGTGAAGATAAAAACATGAAGTAGAGGTATCTTGGGAAATGAAGAATAATAGTTAGCCATCTTTGCTCTTATCTTAGAGACAATAAAAATGTCTCTTTTATTGATAATTGATAAAATAAAATTGATATCAGAAACACAACCATGAGTATGTTACAGGGAATTAAAGAAGAAAAATGAACTGACATCAAAAAGGAGTGGGGAAGAATGGAAACGATGTGAGTGAAACCAGGTGACTGCCAGCATGGCTGCAACGTATCTGCGGCAAAGCTCCTTTTATATAAGAATGAAATAAAATGGCAGCATCACAAAACTGGAGCAGAAAGATGGAGCATCACGAAACTGGACCCTGGGGTCCATCTACTGGAACCCTGTGTGGCGTCTCTTGCGGCTCCTGCGTTTCCAGGAAGGTTCTTTGCCACCAGAGCCACCTGGGAAGCCCGTGTGACGTGATAATTCTCTCTAAACATCCCCCACCCTCCAGCCCCTGCTTGGTCGACTCCAGGTCAGAGCATGGCTTCCTTGGCAACCAATCTCGTGATGAGCATGACCCTAGCTGAGAGAGCCGATCAGTCTGCACCCAAACGGTTTCTCTTAAGACAGAGCTCTAATTGATGGTGCTTATACCTCTGCACTCAAGACAAAAACAACTCAAATAGCACAGCTAGGTTTATTTGTGTTTGCCAAGGCTACAGATGCCAATCGTGGTTGTTTTGAGACCAGGATCTTTGACCCTTTAATTAAAAAATAAAAAAAATAATGGTCTAAAAAATCATTACAGACTTCTGGTTCAAAACAGTTTCAGTGAATTCATTTAATGCCCCTGCCCTTCTCCATTTCCCCTGAAATGCCGAGAGGAGTAAAAATAGGAGAACAGTGAGTCAGAGCTGGACAATGCAGATGGATACCATCCATTCATAAAAATCATAAGCCATTTCTCTAACATAAAGTGCAGACTAGACCAGACTAAGAAGCAAGCTGGCCAACCCACCCACGTGCGATGGAGAAGCCCAACTGGAAGGAAGGCAGAAGAAGATAAATCACATCTTCTGCAAAACATATCAGGTATTAGAGCCCACAGAGCACAAGAATTTGGGGGTGCATAACCCTTGTCTTAGACCTCAAACGAGCAACCACAGAAGGTGGCTCCTCATCAAGGCAGTTGTTGCAGTGAGAGACGGGGAGCCCTCCCCAGCTGCGTCTGGGCCACCAAAACAAAGACATCCGAGAAATCGGGTGCCACAGCCATGTCCTGTGGCCATCTGTGGCTGTCCTCCCACAAAGAACTGGAACAGAATATGGCAAAGTCAGACGAAAATAAACCTGAAGTTTCCCTTTCTCCTAGGGTTTAGGCCTGAGAGGCCTGTTCGGAGGCTTACAGCATCTTGGTCTCAAACCAGAGCTCTCTATAAGGACAATCAGAGAAAAGTCATCAGATTTTTTTGTTGAATAAGAATTAATATCCTCTTATGAGACTGCATTATCAAAAAAAGAGAAAATACTAGAATATTCCCACTTTGTATTTTCACCAAGATGCAGGAATACACTGAAAAGGAAAAACTGGAGATTTATTTATACTTGTTTTACGATTATACTGGATTTGATGAATTACATGCTTGTCTTCCTTACTAGATGATGAATTCTGAACACGCAGGAACTATTGTCTTAGTCATCTTTGAACTCACAGTACCAGGAACAATGCCTGGAATAGCAAAAGCATTAGAATACAGTATTAGATTAACAAGTATTAGAATACAGTAAGGTTGACTAAACAAGCAAAATCCCACATTAAGCTGATTACATCAGAGCTTGCATTCTTAATTATAATGGTTTTTATTCTCAATGTCCCTAATTGAAATATTAAAGTTCTTTAATTCTTAAATTTCTATATTCTAACAAATGTAAATACAGTAAATTTTAGATTATTCACGTAAGATTCAGGAGGAAAGCTAACTGTAAATTACTGAGTTTTATTAGATCCCCAACTATTTCCTCTTAAATCAATAATGAACATTCAAGTAACAACTGATTTCTAATCTATGGCTAATCCAACATAAAACTTCACAGGAATAGTGCCTCACTGGTAATGCAGAAACTGCTTTCTTTTTCCTAGTCTCCCCTCAAATATGAAAAAGCCCCAGGGTATAACTGAAAAAGCCTATAGGCCTAATATCTGAACGACCTGCACAAGGGAACACTGATGGCAAAGCGCTGATCTTACTACTTGGAGAGAAACACAAAGGGGAGAAAAAGATTTTTCCAAACAAGATGACTGACTTTATTAGGATGGTACTGTATTGGCTGCTGGCTTATCACATCAAAATAGAAAATAGTTAAAACTTTCAGGCATATCTATATACACAAATAAATATGTGACTCCATTTCAGTCTCAGGCCAGCGATCACAACATAATCCGTGAGATGAGTGTGCAGCCTCCTAGATACAGACCAACACACCTCTGCAGCTCCTCCAAGTCTTCGAGGTAAAGAATACTTACTCTCATTTTATAGACTGGACAGAGTCATTAAGTGAAACTGTTGAAAAACCTAATGAGACGTTAAAGTTATATTTACTACCCACAGAAGTTTCTTAAGTTTTCAGAGGTCCTTGTATTCTATTAAGCAGAACTTTATAGCCGAGTGCCATAGGCTGGTAGATTTCAATCACCACAACTCCTGGGTACTTTTGAGACACTGGGGATATAAACATTAGTAAACGCCACCGGAAGGAGTGGTTTACTGTCTGGTGATGGAGAGCACCTGCATCTAGACAGGACCTGCGTTAGCACCAGTTATTCCCACCCAGGCCTCCTCCAAGAAAAGGCCCTGAGAAACACTCATCAAGCGTTTGATACAGTGGGTGACACAAAGGAGGTGTTTACAGGAGGCTGTTTCATCATTTGCACTTGGCCTGGAAAAGCAGGGGATAACCTGAGAGTCCAAGCTTCCTGGCTTACAATCCAGGGTCCACTTGTAGTAGAGTTCTTAGTACCCCATCCTCAGCCCCCAGCACCCAGTTTTGTCTGGCGATCCACGAGATTTCTAGCAAGCTGATTATCCCACTCCACTCCTGGTTCTCTGCCAGGTGAGCTGGCACATTTCATCTTGCCGGTGGTGACAGGTGCAGGGATGATGGGAACATAACCAAAATCAGTTAACTTGCTAGAGAATCCTAAGATTTCTGCTGAGACAAGGATAAATGCCAGGAACAGCTAGTAGACACCGTATGACTATGTAGAAAGTCAGTCTTGGGAGGAAGTCAACGATAAGAAAGGAAAGGCAGAGACGAAATCCACCTTCTTGGAAACAGGGCTGCTCCCTGCCTTTCCTGAAGCCCAAACTGGTGCAAGACTTTTCTGATGGAACCAACACACTCCCTTTATTACAGCAAGTTGCACTGAGGTTTCTGGTACATGTACTTCACAGTACGCCACTATACCATGTGCCCCTAATTTCCCACGTCCCTGAGAAAGGTCTGCAGTGTGGGTGCTGTCACATGACCTGGATGACATGGTAACTCCTGCTGACGTCACGGTAACTGGCCAACTCCACCCACAGCTGTGGAAAGGAAGGACTGTTTCCTATTCAGTACATCTGACCTTGGAAGTGAGCAATTTCACTCAATATTGGTATATCGGGGGCGGGGGGGGGGGGCGGGAAATCATTTGGTTGAGTTACTCAACATTTCAAAAGCACCATGCTGGTTGTCAAAAAACTTCAACAATAAACACCTGTCATACTTTATCTCGTTCACCTACATACACATAAATAAATACACGTGTATCTGCTTTCTTGGTTGCACTATTTCAACATAAGTTATAGAAACCTCACCCCCTCAATGCACCTCCTTGGAATAAAGACATTCTTCTATAGAATGACAACACCATCATCACATAATAGTTCTCTAATACCTAACATGTACGTTATATTCAAGTTGTTCCAACTGTCCTCAAAATGTCTTCTATAGTTTTTTTTTTTTTGAAAAACAATCCAACCTAAGTTTACGTATTGCATTTGCTTTTTGTGCGTTCTTTAGTCTCAACCCAGGGGGACAAATGAGGCTCCATATGTGTACATGTTCCAAAAATACTTAACACAGTTCATCTGGTCAAAGGAGACATTTCCCTCGGAGGCGGCCTCCTTGGCCTCTGGAGAACGTGCTCATGGGGAAGGCCTACCTGGGGGGCTGAGAAGCTGAAGGACCTCGGTGTGCTCCATGGCCTGCAGAAAGTCGCTCAGCTCCACGACCGTACAGCCCTTCTCAGCCAGCAGCTTCAGTAAACACAGGCTGGGGCTGCCTTCCGGCTCCAGGACCTTGAGAGAGCACTGCTCCAAGTCGAGACAACTGCCAACGACAGATTTAAGTCAGGTCAGCACCTTTACTTCAGTGCGATCTGCCTGCTATATGTTTGGCCCCATCGTGGGTGTTGCAGGGAATAAACAGCAAGTTGTCGAGTGGTGGAAACAGTTTACACAGACAGGGCTCTGAGTATGGCCCATAGGCTGCTGGCGACAGACCCTTGCTCTATTTGACATATTTTGCCTTAAAGCCATGAGCTTTTCTTCCATAAGCAAGTCTTCTTTTTGCTGTTGTTTGGTTGCTAAGTCTCTTCTGACTCTTTTTGACCCCATGGACTGTATCCCACCGGGCTGCTCTGTCCATGGAACTTCCCAGGCAGGAATAGTGGAGTGGGCTGCCATGTCTTTTTTACTCAATGGAATAAAAGTACTACTTGCAAACAGAAACCCTATCATACATTGGATTGGCCAAAAAGTTCGTTTGGGTTTTTCTATACCCTTTCTTTTGGTGGGGGTGGGGGGGGTGGTAGACATAATTCCCTTATAATTAATACTTGGAGTTTGACATCATGTACAATTACACCAACATTCGTCAAGGCTGAATATCACAGGTAAAAGAGAGTATTATGACCATAAGATATCTCTTCGTAGTTCCCAGTTTTATCTTTCAGCTATAAAGGTCAGTTACCAGAGTCAATTGACTTGCTCTTAACAAGTAAATTTTTATGTCCACTCAATCAAAGAGTCTCTTACATCTTTCTGGGCCTATTCATTTGCAGACAGGAGTAGAAGCTGTAACCAAGTTCTTCATACCATGCATTCATATATGATGTTCACTCTTCGTATGCTGCCCAACTTCCTTAAGATAAAAGGAGTGACTTACAGCGGGGCCACACAGATGAGGAAGTTCTATATGGAGATCACTGTCCTCGAGCATCTTTCGTTTCACCTTCTTGGGGTCCAGTTTCCGTGCAAGGCCCTCAACCTGGAACACCTCATCTGTGCCTCACGGCTTCCAGCAGCTGCCCTCTCTTGTAACAGCTTACGGAAAAATCCGAACAAACTTTTTGGCCAAGCCAATATGTGTCTTAATTCCTCAATACCAAAAATTTTGCCTGGCTCATATTAATCATTTATAACTGAAAGACTATCGAGTGAATTTTAATCATAATTGAAATGCCTGGGACCCAGGATGGAAGGGGTCAAACATAAACATGGTACTGCAGCTATGGCAGAGACAAAGTGAGCAAGCTTTCATTTGGCTTAAAATATTCTTAATCAACATTCATTTTGACCAGTTTTAGTAAAAGGCTGCCATAGCATTTATACAATATAATGGTCACCCAAGATATATAATTCTGTGATAAGGTTGGTTATTTCATACAGAAAAACATGCATCCAACCAAAATAACTTCAGCACTAATATTCTACCTCATAGGACTGTTAGAATTAATTTAGGCAATCCATGTAAAAAGTACTTAGCACAGTATGTGCCAAATAAACAGTGCTCAATTGAATCGATCAGTTTTCCTCTGTGAGTTTCATTTGCTTCCTCTTTAAAGAAGGGCCCCTGACTAGAAGATCTCCAAATTCCTTTGCAGTTCAAAAACTCTGTACAGGTGACATCCTCGACCCCTCAGTGAAACTGGGAGGCAAGCGGCAGGGGCAGCTGATATTTCTACAGAGACTGTGAGGTCTAACCTGCTGGGTCTTCTGAATCCCACCTCAAGATTTACTGCAGGTGGTTTTAAAGTCTGAGATTGCTCATTTGAAAATGATGTTCACTATAACTCAGAGTGTGACTGTGGTCATTGAATCATGGTGTCTGGCACATGGTCAATTGCCCATAATTTTTTTCTTGATTACTTTCCTTTTGGGTTAGACTGACATAATATATAGCTTGTAACTAAAAGATTAAAATGTAATAAATGACTTGCAAAACAGTAAAAAAAAAAAAAAAAGGACTCAATAAAATTGAGCTCTTATTATAATAAAAAATGGGAATATTAAAAGAATACTAAGGTTAATTTCTCAGTTATGCTTATTTATAAAACTGTTTTAGCTTTTCCTTAAAAATTTCTTTGAGAATGAAACTAGAACACTTCCTAACACCATACACAAAAATAAACTCAAAATGGATTAAAGATCTAAACGTAAGACCAGAAACTATAAAACTCCTAGAGGAGAACATAGGCAAAACACTCTCCGACATAAATCACAGCAGGATCCTCTATGACCCACATCCCAGAATATTAGAAACAAAAGCAAAAATAAACAAATGGGACCTAATGAAACTTAAAAGCTTTTGCACAACAAAGGAAACTATAAGCAAGGTGAAAAGACAGCCCTCAGATTGGGAGAAAATATTAGCAAACGAAGCAACAGACAAAGGACTAATCTCAAAAATATACAAGCAACTCCTCCAGCTCAACTCCAGAAAAATAAATGACCCAATCAAAAAATGGGCCAAAGAACTAAACAGACATTTCTCCAAGGAAGACATACGGATGGCTAACAAATACATGAAAAGATGCTCAACATCACTCATTATCAGAGAAATGCAAATCAAAACCACAATGAGGTACCATTACATGCCAGTCAGGATGGCTGCTATCCAAAAGTCTACAAGCAATAAATGCTGGAGAGGTTGTGGAGAAAAGGGAACCCTCTTACACTGTTGGTGGGAATGCAAACTAGTACAGCCGCTATGGAGAACAGTGTGGAGATTTCCTAAAAAACTGGAAATAGAACTGCCATATGACCCAGCAATCCCACTTCTGGGCATACACACTGAGGAAACCAGATCTGAAAGAGACACGTGCACCCCAATGTTCATTGCAGCACTGTGTATAATAGCCAGGACATGGAAGCAACCTAGATGCCCATCAGCAGACGAATGGACAAGGAAGCTGTGGTACATATACACCATGGAATATTACTTAGCCATTAAAAAGAATTCATTTGAATCAGTTCTAATGAGATGGATGAAACTGGAGCCCATTATACAGAGTGAAGTAAGCCAGAAAGATAAAGACCATTACAGTATACTAACACATATATATGGAATTTAGAAAGATGTAACGATAACCCTATATGCAAAACAGAAAAAGAGACACAGATGTATAGAACAGACTTTTGGACTCTGTGGGAGAAGGCGAGGGTGGGATGTTTCAAGAGAACAGCATCAAAACATGTATACTATCTAGGGTGAAACAGATCACCAGCCCAGGTTGGATGCATGAGACAAGTGCTTGGACCTGGTGCACTGGGAAGACCCAGAGGGATCGGGTGGAGAGGGAGGTGGGAGGGGGGATCGGGATGGGGAATACATGTAAATCCATGGCTGATTCATGTCAATGTATGACAAAACCCACTACAATATTGTAAAGTAATTAGCCTCCAACTAATAAAAATAAATGAAAAAAAAATTTCTTTGAGTAGCTACTGTTTTGGTAACTTGGTGGTATCCTCTAAAGTTTACTATCACTAATATTCTAGCTAAAAACTTGTATATTTAATACTCTATCCTTGTTAAGCTATTTCACATCCTAAAAGATGATGCTGTGAAAATGCTGCACTCAATACGCCAGCAAATTTGGAAAACTCAGCAGTGGCCACAGGACAGAAAAAGGTCAGTTTTCATAACAATCCCAAAGAAAGGCAATGCCAAAGAATGTTCAAACTACCGCACAATTGTACTCATCTCACACACTAGCAAATAACGCTCAAAATTCTCCAAGTCAGGCTTCAACAGTATGTTAACTGTGAACTTCCAGGTGTTCAAGCTGGATTTAGAAAAGGCAGAGGAACCAGAGATCAAATTGCCAACATCTGTTGGATCAAAGAAAGAGCAAGAGAGCTCCAGAAAAACATCTACTTCTGTTTTACTGACTATGCTAAAGCCTTTGACTGTGTGGATCACAACAAACTGTGGAAAATTCTTGAAGAGGTGGGAATACCACACCACCTTACCTGCCTCCTGAGAAACATGCATGCAGGTCAAGAAGCAATAGTTAGAACTGGACATGGAACAACAGACTGATTCCAAATCAGGAAAGGAGTATGTCAACGCTGTATCTTGTCACCCTGCTTATTTAACTTATATGGAGAGTACCTCATGCGAAATGCCAGGAGGATGAAGCACAAGCTGGAATCAAGATTGCCAGGAGAAATATCAATAACTTCAGATACGCAGATGACACCACCCTTATGGCAGAAAGCAAAGAAGAACTAAAGAGCCTCTTGATGAAAGTGAAAGAGGAGAGTGTAAAAGTTGCATAAAACTCAACATTCAGAAAACTAAGATCATGGCATCCGGTCCCATCACTTCATGGCAAATAGATGCGGAAACAATGGAAACAGTGACAGACTTTATTTTCCTGGGCTCCAAAATCACTGCAGATGGTGATTGCAGCCATGAAATTAAGCGACGCTTGTTTCTTGGAAGAAAAGCTATGACCAACCTAGACAGCATATTAAAAAGCCAAATAACAGAACATTACTTTGCCAACAAAGGTCTGTCTAGTCATAGCTATGGTTTTTCCAGTAGTCATGTATGGATGTGAGAGTTGGACCATAAAGAGAACTGAGTGCTGAAGAATTGATGCTTTTGAACTGTGGTGCTGGAGAAGACTCTTGAGAGTCCTGTGGACTGCAAAGAGATCAAACCAGTCAATCCTAAAGGAAATCAGTCCTGAATATTCACTGGAAGGCCTGATGCTGAAGCTGAAGTTCCAATAGTTTGGCCACCTGATGGGAAGAACTGACTCATTGGAAAAGACCCTGATGCTGGGAAAGATTGAAGGCAGAAGGAGAAGGGGATGACAGAGGATGAAATGGTTGGATGGCATCACCGACTAGATGGACATGAGTTTGCAACAAAAAGAATAAAATACTTAGGAGTATATCTACCTAAAGAAACAAAAGACCTATACATAGAAAACTATAAAACACTGATGAAAGAAATCAAAGAGGACACAAACAGATGGAGAAATATACCGTGTTCATGGATTGGAAGAATCAATATTGTCAAAATGGCTATACTAC